CCTGCTTTGACGTCATTGATTTTCATCGACCAATCAGCGAAGCGGTCAAATGAGTACACTTTGGACTTTGGGGAAAGGTGAATTGGAGAGCATCATACATAGAAGGTAGATATGAACTTTGTAGAACCAAGGAAACTATAGTATTGCATAAAGTCCCTGGATTCTACCATGGACATCATCTCCAAAGAGTAATTGAGGTGTGAGGTCACAAGGGCTCGAAGCAAGACTAAAAAAATGGTATTAAAATCTATGTTTTCTTGATATCTTGAGGTCATCAGTGAGTCTTAAGAATAAATAATTTAAATATATTATTATAGGCCTGAGGGATTATTTGAATTGATTTTAGGACAACATGGTTCTACAGAATCCGCCTGCCGCTAGATCAAATAACAAGGTTAAAAAATAATGACACATTCAGTTATAAAGTAGGCAGCTATATGATAACTAAGCACATGTATACCCTGGAATAACACATCATTGTATTTTAAAATGAAAATTGGTGGGGAAAATAGTATAAATAACAAGGAATTGAGTACAAGGACCTTACCTCTGATATTATGAATTGTTTAAAAAACTACAACACTGTGATTTGGTAATTCAAATATTCTGAAAGGAGTGGAATATAGCATGATTTGATAGTTATTTTAATGCAGGGAAGACTAATACAAGAGATATGATGGGCAAAGTCTACATACTACAGTGTATATTGATAACTTTTGATAATGTGTCTGGCTTAATTATAAAGCAAAATATACACCTTGTTAATTTAAATTGAAATATTGAAATGACGTTTGTGCCTAACTGATTTATGAAATCAATTTAGAAAGGAATTTTACGTTTTTGTAAAACTAATTGATCACAAGTAGTGAGACGCTACTTCAGATTTATGCATCAAGGTAGGTTTTTAAACAGGTGAAAAAAAGAATTTTTTAGATTGATTCAGCAAACTGTAGTATATTTCAATGAACAATATACGGTGAATCAATCTTTAAAATCATTGCCAAAAGCCAAAATTAGAAACTTAAACTATGAAAGGAAACTACAATGTACATGTATTCATACATACGTATATACATGTATGGAGCCATGCTGCACTTGTGCTTAATCCACGGATTAATATAGCATAAATCATTGTAAAAATAACAACAAACATTATAAACACCATTTAAACCTTTAAATATCTGAAATCTATATGGATAAAAGTTGTGATCTTGTTATTTCTTGAAAAGGAAATTGATTTTAAGCGATTTGGCAAGAACAAAATTTTGTCTACAGAATATAAAGGTCTAGTTTAGCGTCAGTTTACGCATAGTAAATATCTAAGGACTTGTATTGCTATATTTTTCATTATGGACTTCACCACAATGGGTAAGTACTTGGATTTTGCTTATTTCTTTAGATGGGTTGTATACTTTTTATTTTGTTGAAACATTTATACCTGTAGTTCACATTATTTTGATTATATTCAGACTTTATAGGTTTAAATGTCAAGTGTTATGGCTGTATTCGTTAACATATTTGACGATAAAACTGTGAGGTCATTCAATTTTGCAATACTGACTCACTTCATTTTGTTTCTAATTAAACAATTTTCATGTAATATTCATCAAAATTATAAGAATTTTTCTATAAATAATTGAGATTCGTATTTTGAGCTGGAAGAACATTTAGATATGATACTTAAGATTATTAGTGTGTCATGTAGTATATTGTATAGTCTATAGATATACATGTATGTTCAACAATCCTGGTTAGAAAATACCAACAGTTTCAACAACAATATCTTCCTCATTATAAGCATGAACGAAACAGGAATAAGTTTGAATGATATTGGGAAATTTCAATTTCATACTCTCAGTTATACAAAAATTAAACAATTGGGATTTTAATGAGTCAATGCATGGAATTGATCTTAAGTGAGGTTCTTCAGACAAGGGGTTTGTGTATCAGCCATTATGTCTGTATCTACATAGGGACTGAGACAGGCATTGATAACAGTTGACACTAGGTTCACTACAAATTGACAGGTGATTTTCTATTGTTTTAGAGCTTATCCCGCGTATAAGATAATTCTTCACTGATATTTATTTTTCCATATTTTCTCACAGATATATAATAAAATATATTGTCTGATTATCTAAGATTCTAAAACAATATTTTTGAGGGTGCATTTTATGTTTATAAGTGCTACTTCTCATATCTCATATAAGATTTGCCAGTATAAGACTGGGCCTTTGGTATTTTATGTAAAAGGATTAAGTGTTCCTATATATATTTATTATATACAGAATTATACAATCATACATCTTGTTTCTTCTCAATTTTTGCCTATGATTGAACTATGTAAGCATACATGAAATGACAAGATAGACTGTGTGCCATGTAATCCAACATGAAATATACATATTACTAGATACTAAGAACATGTGGGTGCAACTCTAATTATAAAGATATCTACTTTGAAGTAAGACAGGATTATCAATCATTACTTTATATGGATTCATATCAGCTTATGATGCAATGATCATTTTAAAGGGGTGTGTTTCATTTGTGGTTTAAACCAGTTATCACTGCCAATATCAACACCCACCTAAGCTCTACATTCAAACCTTTATACGTGAACATTTCTCTTTAATGAATATATGTGATCATTTAAAGGATGTTCCATTAATTTGAATGTTATCAGAGTAACTTCTGTGAATACCTATCAGTTTGAAAACTTCTCGATGTGAATTGTTCTCATTGCAGTATACACGTACTTGAATCAGTTTTAGTTGTGTTCAGTTGAGATAGGTTTTACTGTAGTTTCCTGTGTTGCTACCTGTCTATCTACCTGAATGTGACGAAACACTGAGTGGTACTGCCCCAAAAATAATTGTTGAGAAATATGCAGTAAAACCTGTATATTTAGACACCTGTCTAATCTGAACATCTATCAATGTGAACACTTTGCCCAGCATCCAAGGAGTTTTCAGATTAGACTGTTTTCAAGCAATTCTAAATTCTCTTTCCTTATGTTAAAGACAGTACTTGCTTTGTCAAACATAATTTCGATGTACTTGACTCAACAAGAGATCTCTCTGAACATAAAGCTCATGGTATGCTCTACTTTATATAAAACTGCAAATTTGTTCAATTCATGAAGTCACATCTGGACTTGGTCAGGGTTTTCTCTCCTGGGCAAGTCAACGAGGGTTTGATATGATAAATCAAAGCTTGTTGGAGAAGGCGGAAACCAGGGGTTCATGAAAGAATAATATTTGAAAAATAAAGTTTTACATTAGATTACTTTCATTTCAAACACAATCAAAGGATGATCTGATGAAACGTATACTTGACTCATTAATTGAGAATATATTGAGTACAAATGCATGTACTTTTCAGTATCTGACACACCAAATTGATTGGTAATTTGTAGGTCGGGTTTATTCTTTTCATAAAATAATGTTTTTTGTTGACTTCTGACTTGTGGTTTCAAATCTCTTAAGCGAAATGCCATTAAAAATATAGCTATATATGTAATTCTTTTTATTGCATTGAATGAACTTGAGATTTACTGGAAGAAACGCTTCAGTAAAAATCTAGAAATATTCGTCCAGTGAAGGATATTAAAAAATAGAATTAACTAGTTGCACCATAATATGTTGACGTAACAGAAGTTTTATCTGGAACATCTCTAAGCTCAAGGCGGCGATCATATTTGCAGAATGTCGGCTATTTTTACCTCTTACCTACACAACCTCTAGAACTACCTTGGTATATTCAAATGAACCAGGTGAGGAGGGCCTGGCCATGAAATTGATATTCATATTGGTCATATGAAGAAAATGCATGAAAAGGGATGAAATCAGAAAAGAATAATTATAATGTTATTATGTGCAGTATAAATCTAGATAAGATATGCAAGATTTGCGGTGATATACAATGCAAGAAAAATAAGCAATTTTTGGTATTTTTTTTATCATGAACTCACAGGGAAACTTTTCATAAAATTTTGCTCCATGAATATTTTCTAGTTTTATTCTTTTTCACTTTCCAGAATTTTTGGTATTAATGCACTTTAACCAAAATGCCGAATTACGAAATAAAATATCAGTGAACTGGATGAAGAAGTTGGTTTATATTAGTAGTAGATATAGCTTGAAGGTTAGCGATGCATAACCTTTGCTAATAAACTTGTGTGGTTTTTGACTTGTCCAAATTGTTTCACGTCTGACGTCTTAAGCAGCAATTGGCACAATTTGCGTACCTGGATTTTCTGGAAATAAGTTCATTCCTCTAGCCACTTTGCCATTTTGACGTATACTGTACTATATTCGAGCTAATATATGATGAGGAATTTTGCATAAAAATACATGATGATGACATAATGCTAAGTTCATAGTCAGTGTCTTATTCCAAGAAAAGTACAATTCACTTGTCCTTCATTAGTGGTTTCACAGCTTATGCTATCTCTCACTAGCATTAGCAAGAGAGACTATGGGGTCTGATTTTGGCTCACATTTGTATCAACTCACATGATATACATATTTAGAAAACATTCACAAAGTTCACATGGGTAATACTTAAAATGATGGTTTAAGTCTGAGAAGAATTATATGCACAAGGGATGATGTAGGTAATGATAATAATTATAAAGAAATTGGAGGGAGTTGTGTTTGATAAGTATTAGGAATGTCTTAATTTCTCAGATTTCCTGAGTCATTCTGATACTTAGGCCATCTCTGCCTGGCAAAAAGTGTACTATGAAACAGTAAAACTCGGAAAAGTAGAAAACCTTTGGAAAACTTTACTCGGGCAGTATTCTATTAACATAGGTGTTCCACTTAACTATATATGACTGATAGAAAACTGCTAGGAATGCACATTTCAATGCTGTGTTTTTTTTACCTGATTTGAGCATCAAATCAGAAGTGTATTAGAAGAAATAATTTTAATATAAACTGCAAATATATTTGATTGATTTGAAAAATTAAATATTTTTATTTTGTGTATTTCAGTGATCGCCAGCTTAAGCTGCTAGTAGTGCCTAAAGATGAAGACATACTACAGATGGTAAGTTAGTTTCAATTATTGTGAATTTAATACATCTAAATAATAATCTGCAACAACCCCCCCCCATCTTCTTGATGTGAGTGAGGGGTTAGGGGTCGGGTCACATGGGCTTGAAGCTAGACTTAATAAACCTATAGTCTGAATATAGACTAAGAAAGCAGACAGTGAGAGCAGACATATAAGTAAGGCCAAATTCCATCAATGTTGTCTTGTATTGAGCCATCTACTTTTCTCCAGGAGGGGTGTTTTAGAGGGGGCATGGAGCAAGACAACATAAATGTACCAGTCTATGTCTATGGCAAAACATGTTAATTACTCTTAGTTTTGCTTTTATCCCACTGTATCCTCCTTGAAGGTTATCGTCAGGCAACATGTACTGTTTACAAAGATTATAGTTCATAATGTACATATGAAATATAATTATATTTTGATTGATATAAGTAGGAGGAAATGGTTAGGTTGAATTGAGCTACATCTTAGATCAACCACCAGTGTTTTGAAGTGTTTTGAATGTAGTGTTGAGATTCTGGGAAATCAAACTAAAAAAGATTTTGGTTCAATTATTAACAGGAGAACAGGGCTATGAAAAAGTAAAGTAAATGGTAGTATTGTTTTAGATGATGGCTCTAAACAAAATACCAAATGTCATCAAGGAAATTTCAATGATAGCATCAGAATGGTGAGAAATTACATGCACATATGAGAAAATTGAAAATGACTCATGAACTTCCCTTTTATGTTCAGATTGCCAGAATTGAATACTCGTGAATGAAATGCACCACAATCATGTATTAAAAACCAAAATATTGTGGTTAATAATGCAATGGTTAACAAATAAAGTATATTGGAATGATCACCATGGTTTGAATAAACATATGGAAACACAAAGAAATCAGGTGTTTGATTCCTGTAACGGGAAAAGGATGGAATAATGACGACCTGGGTTTTATGTTAAGATTAGGAACACATGTTAAATATGAACAGAAACAGGTCAAGTAGACTGAACCTGCAACACGTTTGATCATATCTTCAAAAAAATTGAAGAAAGGGTATATTTTACTAAGGAAGACAAAGAGAAAGATGGAGGAATGATCAAAGATGAAGTTACAGGCATCAAGTCAGCAAATTAAAATGTGACACACGCAAGAAGAGATAAAAGAAAAAAGCAGAAAGTCAAAAAAGTTCTTCATTTTTACTATTAATGATCTGAGTTTGAATTGCTGAATACTTTGTTCAAATCAGGTGCTGAATATCTTCTCAATAGAAACAGAAGACCTAAACATTTGTATGTTTTAGAATTTGATCAGTTAAGGGTGATTAGAAATTATAAAAGTTATCGTATGAAATAGGCTGAAAATTGAAGTTTGAGTAAGTATTGTAAGTTTTTATATTTTAATAGTGTTGTATGATACCCCAAAAAGTGTATGGGCAGGCAACCTCAACTTGTAGCATTTCCTTGGCCTATACGTCAGACTTGTAGTTCATTGTATTGATTGTACATGAAGTTAATGTTTATTTTTGTTTCTTTCCAGGCCTATCACACCTCAGCCCACAATCCTAGAGGGGAAAAATATCGTGTCCATGCCAACGAGATCCCAAACCCACCCCCTTACTCCCGAATGGCCCGAATGCAGAGTGCATCTTATGCTACCTTTCAAGGGAATAACGCATCTAGTTCAGGCTACCGCGAACTAGATACAAACGCTCGTCCAAGGCCCTATACGTCAGACGCTGCACGAAATAGAAACTCTAGCTCAAGTGGAAGCCTTACTAGTTTAAACTCTGCACTAAATCAAAGATCTCCAACCAAAATGGAGCCGTATACTAGGAGCAATTCTGGCTCCAGTGCTCCTTTAAGAACTATTACAAAAAATATTGCAATGGCACAACAGCGAGAGTATGAGACACAATATGGAAGTCAGGATAGTTTAACTCGGGGGAGTGATAATTCAAACATGCGAAGGTCAAGAGAGAATCTTATGCGACAATCACAGGAAAATTTATTTGATAATGGATCACGGAGTAATGTTCAGCATAGTTCAATGGATACTGTACCCCATATACAAAGATCTAGGGAAAATATACGACACTCTAGTGAGAATTTATATCCTGGTATTGGCCCACCAGTGAGTCAGTCTTACGTTTTAACTAAATCTGCTACAAGTGGGGGTTATATGCCACCTCCGAATGTTCATAGGACTACTGTAACATTCTCCAGTGCTGACTCTCAAGGTCATTATACCCCTGCCCCAGCAGTTTTTCATCCCGTGCAGTCAACTGCACCGAGTGGCTACAGCCCGCTGAACTCGTCTGGTCAGTATGTGTCGCAGACGTCAACAGTGTATCCATCGTCATATTCTAGCCAATCAGAGCCTAGGTCTCCTCCGCTTAAGGATATACGATTTTTACCAGCTTACTCAGATGTCTCTGATACTCCGTCCCCGGGAGAGTTAAACCGGAGTGAAATTCGGTACCTCCCTGCCCACGGGTCTTCTCGTAGATACCGAAGTCCTGATCCCCAAACACGGTCTACTCCTTCACTATCTTCTGTATCAAAATCCCAAATTGACCCCAACAGGGCTAATTATCTCACTGTGGGATATAGACATGAAACGAAGCCAACCACAGTAGCACAGTCCAGGGATCTAGGGACCTGCTACCTGAAGCCCCCAGAAGAGGGGTATGGGGGCTATACACAGTCCCAGGGCAGTGTCCCAAACCTGACTAAATCACAGTCCTTAGGTTTCACTTCCCACTCGACATCAGCCCTCCCTAGCCATACACATAGATCCCCAGAGACAACAATACAAATACAAACCAATGCCAAACGGCGACCTAGGATTGTTTCAGAGCGGAAAAAATTATTTGAGATGGGGCAAAGTGGGGATAGTTTAGACAGTGGGGATGGAGCTACCCCACCTAATAGTGCACAGATTGATGACTATTATAAGGATGAACTTGAACAAATTGAGATGATGAAACAAGAAGGAAAAGTCAAAAGTGTTGCACTTAGGACAGCCATGTTTGAAAGTAAAAGTCGCGAGACTGCTGATGAATATGAAAGTGACTCATTAAAAAGGCGTCGTTTAAGTGCCGATATGCGCCGTCAGTTTATGTTAAGTCCAGCAAAACCTTTAACTATACAGGATTATAATAAAGAAGCACCTCATTCTACAGTGGCCTCGTATTCAACACCTGTGTATTCATCCCCTAGTTATTCATCATCTTTGACCCCTCCATCAGCCTCCAGTCCATATGGAGTATACGCCCATCCTTCTCAAGCAGTAACTCTCAAATCCTTTCCACAGGGCTCCAAATATGGACCCACAAGTTCATCTGAGGTTTCTATGGTGTTTTCTCCACAGTATTCAGACTCCGATTCTATCAGTTCGAGCCGGGGCACTATTACTCCTGATAGAGATTCGATGAGGGATCGTGCCTGGTCAGATGATCAGAGGTTGACCAGACGAGTTGTGGGAGTCGCCAGGCAGCCATCCTACCTTAATGCCGTATCTGCACCCAAGATAAGATGTGAGTACATACATATGAACATTATTATATCCCTTTCCTTGATACATTACAAGCTAGAAATATTGCATGTTGGTCTGATGGCTTGCTAATGTTTGAACCATAACTTTGGACCAACATGAATATTTCTGAGTGAAAATTTATGTACCATTATATTTGCTTTGCCTAAGCTTTGGTAGAATAACTTATATCCATGTCCATGTTTAAGTATATACAAATCTCCCCTTGTTGTTTTGTTCTGTAGTGATATGTATGTAAATGCTACGCGCTTGTTTTTCTTGTTGTATTCATTCTGATATGTAGGGCCCATTTTTTCTTTTAGTATTGTCAAGCACAGGATTTTTTGAAAAGTGAACCCCCTTGGAAAAAGCTGGCTACAGACCTGCATATTTTACATTTTTACACAAATAATGCTAAAATTGCTATTTTATGAACATATTTCCAGGGACTTTGAGATCTATTTAATTGAAAAATAACCTATTAAATGTGAACACCTATCTGTGTATACATACATTCAGCTGCTTGTCACAGTAGTGTTTATATTTCACTTGTATTTTCTAGTCATGAATCAAGCCCATATTTTGTTCAACATTCCCATCTTTGACATGAGCTAAAGATATTAATACTGGGAGATGGGGTTAAGGTTTGATTCAAGACTAATGATTTATAGCTCTTTCAGACTGTGAATGGAAGTAGATCCACACATACGGAGATGAATGATGCCCAGTATCCTAAACCGTGTATAATATGATAACCATATTACAGCGATTCTATATTTGTACTGAAGATTGTTGGAGCACTGGAATTAGCCTCTGTGTAATCAGGACATCAAAGTGCTCAATATTTACTGATGCAGGAATTAGCCTCTGTGTAATCAGGATATCAAAGTGCTCAATATTTACCGATGCAAGAATTAGCCTATGTGCATGATCAGGAAATCAGCTTGCTCATATTGACTATCCAGTCACTTATGTATACAGAACTATATTTGTAGGTTTATTAGTTGTGGAATGTTGATGTGGTTTATCTCTCTATTTATGTCACTCTAAAGCTTGCTAATAAAAACAATGTGCCAGAGATAACAGAAGGGAATCACACTAAAAGAATGTCTATTTTACCTTGAATGAAATATGTTTTATTTTGATTCTTTTTGAATATAACTTTGAATGCTAAAACAGTGGGCCCAATTGCCTTTTAAGCTTCTGTGTTTTATGCTTGTTTCTGAATGATACCTGGCTGTAATGAAGGGATTAGAACTTGAAATCTTGAAGAATGTTGGTCAAATATTGAATTGATTGATAAGGGTATGCCCAGCTGGTAAAGGTGTGAGGAACTGGTTGGTATGGAAGGTCAAATGGTCAGTTTGGTGAAACCACAGATCAACAATTAAGTTTGTCTAAGAAGTTCATATAATTGAAATTGTTCTTCTGGAATATTGAGATGTTTTTATCACTAAATATGCACATATGATATACCCCGAGAAAACATTGAGGGATTTAGGCCTAATGATGATCTAATGAAAGAAATTGAAATCAGTAATCAGTTGGATTTATCATTAGATGTTTTATTATATTTAGAACAATATCAAAGAGAGGCGATATATAGGCGATATATATTGAAAGGTGTTTTGCACAATGGCTCGTCATGTCATTCAACTCTCAAATGGCAATGTGTGTTTGATACAAGATGGCCATAAACTACACATATATGGTAAGTCAAGGTGGAATACATCATATTGAAGTTACATCATATGCATAGGGAATAGATATAATATAACATACAACAGAAATTGAGACAAAAATTTGATTTTGCAAATCTTTTTATAGAAGGCATTAAACGAATCCTCAAAACAAGAGATATTTCGATCAAACCTGCCCTTAGCTTTTCAGTTTGACAAATGCCCTCGATGAGGCTCGATCATATCAACCAATCAGAGAGCACCGTCAAAGCCAAACTTTTATGTTAACTTCTTTACACATATAAGGAGAGATATTTGTCACTCTAGCATCATCATGGTAAACCATGACACCTCAATTCTTCTCAGCCTTCAAGACGCCAGAACATGTTGCTACTGAAACAGAAAGGTATGACAAAGGGCTACGCAAACCATTTATACCATCAGAAGAACATGTACACGAATTATCTAGTTTCAGTTGCTTCATCGTCAAATAGTCCCATATACACAAGTAGCAATATATTTCAAACTGGAAAACCCAGTCTGGTGATAACTTGTTTAATGAGTTATTGCACATTACTTGAAATTGTTGAAAGTATGAACTAAGTAGAACTTGAAATAGCACAGTACTAACAAATCTTCACAAGTACAACGGAGATAAAAAAAACATCTAGTGATCATTACAGGTTTGATTAATCATAGCCATTTTGTTTTGATATTTTTGAAATTTTCACCAAGTACTGAATTCTACAGACATTTGTTTTACAATTTTTGGGAAGTTTGGGTTTGTCGAAGCAGAGCTCATATTAAATGCAGTAAATGTTCAATGTCTGTTGAGGTCAGATGGAACTTGCTCAAAGACAGCCAGTCAAGAATTGAAATATTTCGGAATAAAACAAAGAAGATAAGACATTGAAATTGTCCTAGTTGGCTCAGATCAATAGACTGTCTATATAGTTTCTATCCACCCTGCATATAGTTAATGCTGTAAGGCTGCTGGCTGACTAGGGGAATAGAAGGCTAGATCAGCTCCAATCAATATTTTACCTGATTGTTTCAGTGTGGGCGTTGTGGCCTTACATCTCGTTGCAACCAATATATGTGAAATCTCATAGTTGCCATGCTTTGAATGTAAAATAACATAAAAGAGCGAAATTTCCAAGCACTATTATGGAGGTTCATAAGCATGAAATTCATAATCTTAATTGTGAAAATGCAAAGCCAAGAGAGAAAGAGAGAGAGATAGAGACAACAATAATGAATAAAAGTTACAAATTGAAGCGTTCTTTCTCATTTATTGCATTGTGGCTGTTCATTCAGCCATCTCCAATATATAAGTTAATAGACATTGATATTCATTAACAAGGACCTATTTATTATTGAACTCAATTCTGTCATTGGTCAAGGATTTAGATCTAGGTTAAACTTACAGATTGATCGGATCTATTTTAGGAAATGATAAACAATAGATGAAATCAATTATTGTCCTGAGATGGCATAATCATCAATGTAATTTGTCCATTTTAGAGATATTTTTCCATAATTGATTGACTTAGTTCTATTTATTAGGTTATTGTCATTATGAGTGTGTGATTGAATGTTTATGAAGGTTATATATAGAATAGGTTATGTACTGCCACTAGTTGGGAAGGGGAGTTTAGCAGGGTATGAAGCATCCAAAATAAGCTTAGATATATGATAATACAATACAATGCAATACAATACAATACAATATAATACAATACAATGCAATAAATACAATACAATGCAATATAATATAATACAATGCAATATAATACAGTACAATACAATATAATACAATACATTGCAATGCAATACAATACAGTACAGTATAATACAATACAATACAATGCAATAAATACAATGCAATACAATAGAATACAATGCAATACAGTACAATACAATATGATACAATACAATACAATACAATGTACAAGTACGGATGCTTCTAGATGGGGGCCTTGCAAATATACAAGGAAGAATTTGAAAATATTGGAGAGCCTTCATTTCTGGACTTTCTGTCAAATTTCTGGTGAGTCCGAAGGCATTAGACTTTGTCATATCACCCCCCCCCCCCCAGTCCTGTCTCTTCCTCTTTTCTTCCCATACTTTCCAGTTCTCCATATAAAATATGGTGAATCTCAAATCATATCAAGTTGCTAATTTGTAGACTTGACCTCTTGTGAGCATTCTAACCTTTATGAATATTCTAAGTGCTAGCTGGATAGAATTCCCAAACATAATTGCCAATAGCTAAATTCAGTTTTAGTTTCACCCTTACTTTACCTTATACAGCCAACACATATGCTGTTCGTCCTTGACTTCATGGACATTTTACTTACCATACTAGTTAGTATGGACATATAGGATGATATGTACAGTGAAATATAATATACAGTGTGTCCCAAAAAAAAGGAAACCGGCAATAGATTGCTTATTTCTCAAATATGAATAACAATAGGAAAATTTCACAGCTAGCATCTGATAGGTTATGATGTCCTTTTTCTTATGATACCAAAGATGTTTATTTTTCTTCACGGATGACTGAGTTCTAAGAGATTTAAGTGACCATGTCAGAAATTGGTTTGTGCCACTTTTTCTGTCATGAATGGCTGAACAATGAGGGATTAAAATGGCTATGCAAGACATTGTCCTATTCGAAATACACATTTCTGAACAAGCATGCATTCAACATAGCAAGTTCATGCAGCTGACCCAAGATCAAAGAGTATTTGCAGTGCTCCTCCTCATCGTCGGATTATCATTCGGGACAGATTAAGGGCGCTGTTCAACAGAAGAGTGATTGCCTTGAACCACGTTCATCGAGATCCCCAGACCTGACACCCTGCGACTTCTCCCTTTTTGGGTTATCTCAAGGGTAAAGTCTTCACAACACCACCAAGAGACGTTGATGATCTAAGGGCCAGGATTGTCGCAGCAGTGGAGGATTTAAGGGGACAGAGAGACATCATCGGGGATGCCGTACGTGCGATGAGATCAAGGGCAGACATTTGCATTGAAAGGAATGGGGGTCATGTTGAAGGACACTGGGGTTAAAACAACTTTGAATGGACATTGGGATTTAAAAGGGGTGTTCAATATGATATGTGTAATTTTAATTGGAATAAATGAGTAAAAGAGTGATATCCTGATGTTTGTTGTTACTTATCACTTTGTTATGATGGTGAAATTGACTTGGCTGAAAGTGGTACAAACTCATTTCTGACATGGTCACTTAAATCCCTTATAACTCAGCCATCCGTGAAGGAAAATAGACAACTTTGGTATCATAAGAAAGAGGACATCATAATCTATCAGATGGTAGCTGTGAAATTTTCTTATCATTATTCATATTTGAGAAATAAGCAATCTATTGCTGGTTTCCTTTTTTTTGGGACACCCTGTATATATAGCTGTGGTCAAACAAACAAATAAAAAGAAACAAACAAGCAGAAGAACAATTTCAAATACTGTTAAAAATAAATGTTTTATTATTTGGATAAAATTATTTCATGGATATTTAAAAATGATCTGAATTAAGAAAAATACATTTGCAATTTACGTGTACATGTACAATAACATGTACTGTACTATAATATATTCTTATTCGTTTTGATTGGCGAGCTTTAACTTTTGAGTTTTGAGTAGTGATAACATTCAACCTTTAACACTCTTGAAATAATAACTTAAGAAATATATCGGTAAGTACACAAATAAAACTCACAACTACGAGATAAACAAAAACTTTTTTAATAAAGAACTACGGAATTTGATTTCAACAATGGAATTGGAAGATTAAGATTCATTTTAATCCAGGAAATGGAGGAAAAGCAGGACTGCTACAGGGTCCTTGATATGAACGCACATAATAAAGGGATATGGCTGAACCAGTGTTGATAAGTTTTACCACTGTAACGCCTACATATGATAACTATGACATCATTGTGAGAAGTTCTTCTTGAACGTTTGTGATTGTTTTTGTAATGGTCTTTAACTGTAATGCAATCAATTTTATGAAAGTGACAATCAAGTAATTTACTAAGAAGATTTTGAGTTAAGCATTTTGCTATAGAGTTGTAGTACTGTATAAAGGCAAATAACTCCCACGCATTCCCATGTAGGTTTACTCTTATTTTGCACTACCACCTCAAAACAAAAATAATGTTCATTAGCAGAATACTCAGGATTTTTCTATTACAACTACTTGTCCAGAAGTAATTTAACTTTTTTAGAGAACTGCAAACTTTGAAAATACATTTGCTACAAAAAAGGTAAATATTGACCTGTTCCTTGGGGTTGCATTTTTGTTCATTCGTTCAAGTTTTAAAGAATGCAGAAATCAACATTACATTCTATTCACAATAAAAATGCATTTTTTGATGAAATCATTTAAGGAAGAAGTTTTTGAAACCTAAAATACTGCTTTGATTGATTGAAATCCAGTTATATGTGAATTCTTTCATTAATTGGTTTCGTTTTGAATGATATCAAAGATAGAAGACCATTTAAAGTCAATCATAAAGACTTGAGTAGAATTGATAATAATTATATCATTGTTATAACATGTAGGAGTAACATAAGTTATCATTTCAAGAAGTTGATAAACTAAATTGAGATATTTTGAAGTTAATATAAACTATGGTATCATGCCATCATTGGTAGTTACAAACTTGAATAATATACACTTGAAACTTGAAAGCTGTGTTGTTGGTTGAAAAATAATAAACTTCAGAATGTTACATAACTTGGATAAACATCCGTAATATAAAACAGTCTGTTGGATCTAAGAGACAAATTCAGGATGAAAACACCAGAACTATTAATTATGAGACTTCTAAAAAAGCTAATGTTAAAACAGTATTTTTAATATTGAAGTTTTATTGAACTATTAAAACCATCTTGACATGACATGTCATAAAGAAACGGACTGATGGTGCAAAGTTACGGATTTAAAACAAGTACCATAATATCATAAAATGTCAAAAATACAGTGCATGGTAACACAGAGAACTTGATTAAAGTAAAAGCACAGAAGTACTTATCCTTTAACACTGTCATGGTGTTTTATTGTTAAAGCATGAACAAGTTCAGTAGGATTTGAAAAAGATTTAATCAAGCCTTATGGAATATCTGTAACTAAAGGACAATGGCAATGCGTATTGTGAGAAATTTCAAAGTAACGGCTAGTGAGGAAGCAGAAGATGTTGATGGTGAAGTTGACGAGGAGGAGAATGATACCAGTGATGAAGATAATGATGTTACTGTCTTAGTTAAAGTTGTTTGGGATCAAGGTATATACTATCAATATTCTGTCAATGAACTCCAAGATAAATGTGATTTCAATTTATAGCAGAGATCAAAACATCAGCTACAAAATTTGAATAAATTCTACTTTTGGTACAGTATATGATTCGAAATATGTTTTTGAAATAAGAAATTCTTTAGTTTGAGCTAAACCTACTTTCAGGATACTAATGGTAAGATGTATATCGAGATCCTGTCCAGATGAATCATATTTAAGTGATCTTTCTTTGGTTTATCAATTTCGACTAGCACTTCACAGAGTTGGCATTTAAAATAGTGGGTTAGAGATTTCAGAACCAATTACCCTTTCTAAAATGGTTGGATAAGTTATGAGCTGAAGACTGCAATATCGCATCATTTGTGGTGGGTCATGAAAACTTAGAACTATGAAGGGGTGGGTCATGACCTGATGTAATAAATCGGCATACACCAGCTTTATTTTAGGTCTGTTTATGAATCATCTTCTTGGGTTTTTTAAGGCTTATCTGAAAGACAATTCATTTTATAAATGTTGAAGCAGAGTGTGTTTATTATAAGTAAGTTGACTTTATTAACATCATGGGTCTAGATTTATATGAGAATAAAACTTTGACAGTATGTTAAAAATGATCTTTTCGGTATTAGAGATTCTAATTGAAGAGAGTAACTGAAGAAAATCCTTTAAGAATTCAGTGTTGTTTTTGCTCTTGTAGGTAACTGATGACTTCATAGAATACAAGCCTGAAAGATAGATATGGCCTCATACCATTCTCCCCCATGGCCCATATCATAAGTCCATCTTTCAGCATAATTTTACCTTTGCAGTTGGTAAATGAAAATGCAGAGAAAAGAATTGAGAAAGCAGTGCATTTGGAGAATTGCCCAAAAAGGGGAAGGTTGAGAAAAGTGAATAAAGAACTACATTAATATATATTATTTTGATTTAATTATAACCATGATGTGTTTTTCAGATTTGGAACATAAAACCCCACACTTCATAAAGTCCTGGCCATATCACTTATTCTATTATTCTTATTCTATATTTCATTATTAATATTTTACAAGTGTGCGATTATACCAAGAGCCAAACCCCAAGTCCAACAACGCAATTCAAGTCAGAGCTCCATCGATTGCTTGGTTCCATACCAGGTGGGGATGACAAAAACCTTTTGTCCGTATTCAACTCTATGCTGGAAGGTTGGTTCACCAGGCATATTTTGTACTTTGATGTTTGTACCACAGTTTGTGCTCATACTAATTTCAATTGTTTTAGATCAGCCCTTGTACACACACCATGTGTTTGATCAGCCCTCGTACACGATACCTTATTAATATAGATGGTCTTGTGAACCATATAACTATGTATGCAGAATCTGTATGCACCACATGTTAAAACACAGTTCTTGTGAACCACATGTACCACATGATATTGTGATAGACACATTTACTAATCAACCCATATTTCTTTCAGCAAGTTTAGCTATAGGTTTGACACCACTGTAACTCAATATTGCATGGGATTGTAACACCAGAAAATTCCATGGAACTTGATCTTGAATAGCATGGAATCGTAGCATGGGAAACCTACAGATCCCGACAACATGCTTTTTTGTGAACATATTATAGGATCAAATTTAGCCATACCAATAGCCATATCAATATCGATATATACAGATATATATGTATGAATCTTCATGATAATATCAGAGATATGCCTTGATATTTTATGCATATTAGGCACTTTTGCTTTCTTGCACTGTTTAATTATGACATCACTGTGTTGAATTGTGCCTCGCTACTGTACATGTATATGTATGTAAGCTCAGCATTCTAGATGAATATCAATCTGGTTGTTTATTTATATTCTGGAGTTATTAAGAAATATAAAATGCAATGAATCATGAACAGACAAAACCAGTAAATAATGACACCTATTTGTTATGATGTCATTCTCACTCATTCTCATTCTGGACAGAAATAGGTTTACTTATTGCTTATTTTCAAAAACTTTTATTGAAATACAGTTGCCAGAGGAGTAGAATTTCACGAATCTAGCCAATATAGTCTAGTTTCTTTTTTCACCAATAGGTGTCAGGGTTTATTGGAAAGCTCTATTGTCAGAATTTTGTGAAACCTAATAAGCCCAGATTGTTATAGAAGCACGTTTGTGCAATGCGTTGCATCCCATTACATGTATATTCCTGATATGTTTACAGCAGCCCCACCCACCATATCTGAGGCTCCATTTGTGTGGTCTCCAATGGGTGAGAATCCGGCTTTTACTTTTATATACATCTAATTAATTAACCCTTCCTGATTGGGTATCACTGAATATGTCACCTATAGATGGCGCACCAATATTATGCATGTCTTATAATACAATGTAATATTACAGTTATGATAGGAACTAGTCTTATACACTATCTCATGATCATTTGGGCAGTCAGACAACATTTTAATGATTATGTTATAGACTAAAATATTCATTTTGTTACTGATGGTTCAACCTATAACCCGCCTGATTGCTTCAAACCATCAACATTTTTATCAGTTGATTATTCAGTTTCATGTTTCCTATTAGATCTACATAATTGCATTGTCTTCAAATTTATACTGGTGCTCCATCTTTCAGGCTGGTTGCAGTTTCTGGGATATCCTATAACAACTATATATATGTATTACATCATCATGTATTCAGTTCAGATATATAGGGGAAATAAGGAGTTGGGGATAAGGGGCCAGTTTCGAGAAAATATTGCAAATTTTGATTCCTGTGATTTCTGTTGTCTTTCATCATAGTAATAATGTTGGAGATGATGTAATTTTGAGGATCAACATTCAAAAATTCTTTGAGATAATAGACTCCAGAATTATTATCATTAATGATGTAATGCATATATTCAAAATATTGTAATACTAATTGCTGTATGCTTCCGCTAATCTTAATACAGAGCTAAATGGTGGTGGCGGTGGTTTTAAACTTTTAATAAAAAAAACTCCTTTATTTTCTTTTGAATCCAACTCTGTATTGCAATTTTCTAACCCAGTCATCTTTCTAAACTTGCATTGGGAATTGTTTCTCTAGAGTATGTGTTGCATATTCTTCCTCTCTCATCATATCCTTGGTGATATGATTTTTTATATGAAGTCTTTTTATTTGGGTCTATTTACAGACCATGTCTTGTGAAGAATAATTCAGAAAATGCAAGTGTTTTTACCAATATATAATAGAAAAATGTGAAAAACATTTGAATGTTCTTGCAACTTTTCTGAGAACATGCCCCTGGTGAAGGATTTCTTTTCTGTATCTTTCATATTGTCATTCTATAGATTATAAGATTGTGTTTTAAGCCTAATATATTTGATATAAATACATCTTCACTGTCTTTTAATTGTCACTAACAAATGGTGTGGAGTTATGCTTTGGTTTGAGTTAATGAAATGTATGAAAAAACTACATTTAAATTACAATATAATTTGAGATATTTGTGATGATTGTACATATACATATTTAAAATGAGTCAGAGATATCTTATATTTTACATTTTAGTCATCCATTTGTATTTTGATTTTATAGTTCAAAATAATTGAAAAGACAACTGAAAATGAAGTTTTACAGTATTTATCATGTACATATATTCCTCCAAATGACATTATATCATTTGCAGTTTTAATCTATAATATAAAAGACAAAACTACACTTGAAATATATATCATATATATAACTATATATCATACAAAGCTTTTTTCAATTCAAAATTATTAAGACAAATAAGTAAAATGAATTTCAAATCCAAGGTCCAAGGTTATAATTCTGTAATAGTGAATAATGAGTCAATTGTTTGAGATAAAACTTAAACACAATATAAATATGTTAACATGTTTTATATCACATCACTCAGAAACCAATGAATGATCAAATGTAAATTTATTGTTTCCCTTGGATAGTGTTAGAGACCCTTGCAATATTATGATTTCCAAAATATTAGTTCACCTTTTTACTAGCTTTGAAATATCTGGTATTGAATTTAATTCTATGGCTATTTAGGACTGAAGATATAACTGAATTCTTGATTTTCATAATTTTCTGTCTCAAAAAATCATTATCAGGTTTCAAAATACTTCTTGGTGCCAGGTTCAACATGTCACCTGCTCAAATATGTTTTATGAGTCAAAGTTTGAACTTATAGATGAACAGTCAATAGTGAAGATATCACAAAATCAAGGACACATAACTTGTGAGGCATTTAAAGCTAAAATTGAGAAGGTATCAGGCTTTATTGCAAATATAGAAAAAATGAATTAAAAGAAGTAAATTGAAGTTGCTGTTAGAAATCAACTAAAAATGAAACCTAAAAGAAATTTAGTGGAGAGGTACAGGGGTTATCATCCCTACTACACAATCTATCTTACTTTGCTAAAACATTTGATGTTCAAGAAAGAAGGATGTTATGATCTTCGTAAGTACAAAACAGCAGGTACTTTGTGAAAACTTTGTAATCATGAAACAATGACATGTTTCTTAAATACACTTAAATCTCATTGGATTGAATTCAAATAATTACATTACATTAACCTTACTTAATAATTATTATTTTGTCGTCAGAAATGTACCGCGTTTTAGAATAATTATTTATTATTTTGTTGTCAAGTGAATAATAATATTAACATTAAATATAATTTAATATAATTTTAAATAAAAATATATTAACACTTGATTGTAATGTCCTAGAAATTGAATTTTGGTAGATAGAGGATTTGCCCTTTTAAAAATATATATATTATCAAAAATATTGACAAGCTAAGCATTTAAATAAACCAAAATGATTATCAAAACAATAACATTGATGACGATCGTTTGTTTAATAACAGTACATACTTCCCTCCTGCATCTAGGTCTCAGTACAATGACTTGATTATACTTGTATATATTAGATAAACAAATATAATTATGTGATAATTGATTACAACGTATGTATGTTATTGTTTTGTGGTCATCCCATACCTGGACATGAAGCGTCATATAGCCAATCAAAACAAAGATGTTTACGGATATTAGTTCAGCCGTCATTGAAAATTAATAACAAAGGAAATAGCCATCCCACTTATTATTTTGTTCGGGGACATGAAGTAACCCTCTGTCCATCTTTCGTTAGTGTGTCTTGGTGATGACTCAAATACCAGTTGTCTGATTTTATTGAAATTTTAGAGGGTGATGCATTATTGGAATAGGTCCTCTGCTCAAAAATGTCTACTAAATTCAAAATGGCTGCTTTTTTATTTATTTTTATGAACTTGTAAACATACTCTAACCATACTAATCAAGTAAAGGCAGGTTAAATTTAAAGGCTAGTGCCTGATGGGCGTAGAACCTTTGTTCTAGAAAATATTTTCAATATCGTCCCCATTTTGTGTAAAAAAGTGTTTCTTCAAAATGTAGGGAAATGTCAAGACAGTTTTTGCCAAAAGGGAAGACACAATTACTGCCTTGATATTTCCATCTTGATCTGTTCAAAGTAAGATGATTTTCTGTTAAGCTGGTATTCATTATTGTAATTCTGTTGCAGTTATGTCCAATGAAGACTCCAGTGGAAGCAATGTACTAGCGCCATCCATCACTACAACTGCTCCACCTGGTGGTACGTCCACATCGGTTGTCATGAGGCAGCAGAGACCACAGGGTGAGTTTCTGTACCTTTCATCTTATCTCATAAATATAACTGCTTTTCTCCTATTTGAAAAAGTGCAACAATGAATCCAAATATTATAAGTAACTAGATAATACTTTTCATGATTTTTATTGTTAATTAAATGAATTTTTTTGTAATTCATTCATTAGAGCATTAAAGTATTTAAGTACCAAGTCCCTTGATTCTGGTTAAAAATCGCTTTGTTATTGTTATGTTATAAGGTCCCAGGAGATGATCGCCGGAGGTATAAAAAATTACCCCATAATTATTATATAATAAGTGTTAAATGTTGTCGTTATGTTCAATAAATTATCTGGACTTCCAGAAGATGATGACATCAAACTGTACAGACGCACATCATATCTTATGGCAACCAAGGATAAACCAGCCATGAACTTACCATTGGAAGATGAGAAACCACAATGTCCACCAATAGCTGAACCAGAGCAGGCGTAAGTTTTATTGTTCATCAAATGGTTTATTGGTTTTTTTATGTCCGAATATTAAGAAAATGTGCAAGTTTATGATTGAAAGGTGATTTGAAAATTGATTTTCTTAAAATTCTAAAATAATTCGAAATTATGAGTTCAAGGAGTATTAGGAAAGTAAAATACATGTGACTTAATATTTGGACATTTCATGGGATTGAAGCCAGTGGACAAGGGTAGTCAGATTCAGATTCAGACTTTTTAATTTTGATTTTTTCATTATTTTCATTATTTCTGGAACACCTTGTATAGTTTATTGTTTTAATAATTTTTTATTACTTAATTGTCAATTGGCAGTGTCATCTCTTGAAAATAACAGAATTGTGACTTCTGATATTCAGTTCATTTCATGATGCTACAATTGAAAAATAGTGAAAGATAATTGAATGTCATAATTCATGCATGAATTATGTTTCTTGAGGAAAAAGCCTCTGCTCATTGATTTATTTGGCACACCCTGTATGTCAAAAATATTTACTTTTAGAATATTTATATTTTTATATATCATTTTTTCTGGATTATTTTAAAATCTGACTACCCTCCCATACATGCCCTGGCCTATATTTTTAAAAACCAAGGGCTTGTTTCAAAAAATATTTTCGCAAAATCGGCCCTTGATGTAATGCTAAAATTGTGGCGGGCTAATTAGTTGCTTTTACTTACTTTTTTTAACATTTGTAAGGAAAATTAAGATCTTGATGCATTTTTTTGCTCAAAATAAAATTTCTATCTTCCTCTTAATGCCTAGGTATTTAATTATAGCTTAATTTAGTTGAAACATCTTGAGAAACTTAGACAATTTGTGTGAATCTACTAAAAAATGTAGGCAGTTAAACATAGATACCAAAAAATTAGTCTAGCTACAAGCCCCTGTGACCCCCCCCCCCACTACTTGACTACATAGGTATGAAAACTCCTCATACAGGGGGGGTGGATGGGGGGGGGGCACACAAAGGCTTGTAGCTGTACTATGAATAATTAGTCTGCTATAAGCCCCTGTGACCCCCACTACTTGACTACATGGGTATGAAAACTTCTCACATATTTTTGAGAGATGTGTAGTGGCTTGTAGCTAGGCCACAAAAAAATAATTGCAAATTGAGAGGGTAATGGGATTTATTATGAGAGGATCAGAGTTCCAACAAAATCTAAGTTTAGTGACCGCTAGTGACTGTATGCATTGTAGGACGGGGCGAACTATCGTTAAAATTATGATCCGAAGGTACGCCAACCCCGCTTATAGTTTTGCTGTGATTCATGCACATATCCTGCATATTTTGTGTGATTTCAAAACTAATACAGCTATAAACCTTTACTTACATGTTTTTTTGAAGAATTTTGAAGTTATACTCATGGACTTTTTGCACACCCAGAGATGAATTGATGCCGGCCATTTAGCATGGTATTGTTGAATTCTATCCCATATCATTGCTTATGCATATGGTCATTATTTCATTTTGTTCTATTGTGTTATGTAATGCAAGCACCAAAATTAATGAATTCATTCAGTGCAACATTTTTATAAAAGTCAAACCAGCCAACGGTATGCATCATCAATACAATCTATTTTCTGTAAATATTGAAGCTTGAAAAAATGCTCTCTTTGTATATGTGACATGACGAGTTTGAAATCAAAATGATTCTTTCAATTTCTCCACTCCATGCAGGAGTAATATTTTCAAATTGTAATATTCACAGAAAAGAAGGTTCAGTAAAACCTATCTAAGATATATTGACCAACCATAGGTGTTCGGATTGGCAGGTGATTAACATCATCGATTCCCACGTTCTATCAGACAGGCCTGAAGCTTGATGAAGCAAGATCACTGGGGGGTATCGTGATGCAACAACACCGTGTTGTTGCATCAAGATGGCCAGACTTCCGGTGATAGATTTTCGTACGATGTTTTGTTTTCCCAATTTACACCCATTTCTAGGACGAGTTGCTCAATAATCATACACATGCAGTTAGCGCATGATCTATATTTTAAAAAACTGTCATTGTATAGCATCACCAAGAAGCGATAAATTCGTGGTTTTAATTCCTCACTATTGATGCACCACTCTGTTTCTTATCGATGATGCAACAACACCAATGTGCTGATGCAAAAACGCCAATATAATGTATCATTGAACAACAAGAGAAACTGTTTTATGTTCTGTTTACAGGTGTAGGTCGGGACATGAATAAAACGTGTGAGTCAGTGGTCCATGAACGAAACGTATTTTGTTTGGTTTCTTTGTCTATATCAAAGTTAAAAGGATATACAAGGCAAACTAAATAAAGTACAGAATCCCTGGGAGGCAATCTCATTGATATTGTATCTGAAAAATAAAGATTATACATTTACTAAATTAAATGCCCTTGATTTACCGTATGGAAATTGCTTACAAATAACTATAATTTTGGAAAGACAGCAGATATCAGTCATTTTGTGTTGTTAGTACCTCGGTTGAAATATTCAATTCTGATTGGTTGACGAGCGGTCAACAAAATGTATTGTTAGTACCTCAACTGAAATACTCGATTCTGATTGGGTGATTAGCGGTCAGAATTATGTACTGTTGACCGCTACTAGGTACTGTTGACCGCTTCTTCTGAAAAAAAGTTTCATGACGTCACAAAAAAAACATGGAAGACGGACATTTTGTAAACGTTGATGAAAATGACTTTACTAGGCGACAAGTATAGCAAAAATACAAATAGAAACTTAAAATTAACATTAATTCACTAACGAGTACGACGTGATGAGCCAAATACAGAGTTAATCTACTTGCACTGTCTCCAGATTTTCTAAAAAAAAATATTGCTAACGTGGTTTGGAGAAAAGGTTGTGAAATGAAGCCATGCCGATTGATGATTATCGTTTATATGTGTATTATTAGTTTACTCGGACTAACAAAACAATTGAAGACCTCTCCATTCGATCAACCGTCAAAATCATATACCTCGACTGTAAACCTTGAAACTACTGTTGACCTCGACCTTCGGTCTCTGTCAACAGTAGTTTTTCGGTTTACAGTGTCGGTATACAATTTTGCCGGTTGACCTCTGGGGAGGTCAACCATTGTAAACTGTTGACCCCTATTTTTGAAAAATTGTTTTTTAATGTTGAAATTTTTTTAATTTTGAAAAAATAAGTTGTGTAAAAAATTATAAGTATTCGACGGTTTGGGGATTTTTTGCTAAAATATGATACCTTTACTTATCAAATATGTTCACGTGATATTCGATTATATATTCGTCCAATTATTATATTATCTGGACTAACAGAACAATTGTTAACCTCTCTTTTCGGTCAACTGGCAAAAGTGTCCTCGACCTCTGGTCTTGATCAACAGTACTTTCAAGGTTTACATTATCGGTATACAATTTTGCCAGTTGACCTTAAGAGAGGTCTACAATTGTTTATTATATCCTTCAAATTATTATATCCTTCGGACTAACAAACAATTGTTAACCTCTCTATTCGGTCAACTGGCCAAAGTGTATACCTCAACAGTAAACCCTGAGAGTACTTTTGACCTCGACCTCCGAACTTTTTAGGATTTCAGTATCGGTATACAATTTTGCCAGTTGACCTCAAGAGAGGTCTACAATTGTATATTGTATATCCTTTGTTATCCCACCCAAAGTATGATGTCATATATCAAGTTTAGTTGTATACGCTGCTCAGGAGTTTACGCTATCCAGGAATTGTACATCGTTCTCAAGAGTTGTATATGATGAGTGTTGGTTTAATATGATGGTGTTGGAGTTATACAATGCTATTATATAAAGGTTATTTACGGAGAGGGATTCAATTTTGGTTTTATTCCGAGAGACAATATGATATTTCCCTTGGCCCGGGATATCTGGGATAACTGTACCCCTGTCAATTTACCTTTTTGGGCCCTTAATCTTATCACTTTTGCTTACCCTTTTACTCAGTCGGAGCTAGAGAAGGAATCCAAAGAGAGCAATAATTCTACATGTGCAAGATTTCCATTAAACGTGTAACTAAACGGCTCTCTAATAAAGTCAATTAGACGTTTTTACACGTTGGCTCTCCAAATTGGAGGAACTAAAGAATCATATCAAATTATATCATAGATGAAGCAATCATCCCATCAACATAAGCTCACGAATGTCACAGTTAAACTGTTTTAGTTATAATTTGATAAACAGTGGTAACGTACATCTACCTGTACTAGTTTATCACTGTTCCACAGATGGATGACAGATAATTTCCAATAGCTCATAATGTTAACTGAGAACGAAAGATGTGTGTCCACCATTTTGAATGATACTAACTGGAGTCAGGGTCATCAAGCTATGGAACAGTGATGTATGAAAATAGATTGGATTACTAAAGCTTGCCATGTTAAAGGCGATTGAACTATGTTATAGAGCAACGTCCAGTACATTATAATATTTAAAAGTATAAATTTTTAAAAATACATATAAAGGATCTTCGCCCGCAGGACGTGTATTTTGAATGCCTTGAGAAGAACGCAAATATGGGTAATGGGTAACGGTGTTGCAATAGTAGCATTTAAAAATCTGTTCCTCTCGAGATTTATGGTCTTCTGAAATTATACTATTAATTGGTGTTGCTGCATCATTGCTCAAATCTAGAGGAGTGTTGTTGCATCTTCGGTTTGGTGTTGTTGCATCAATAGTGAGGAACTAAAACCGTGAATTTATTGCTTCTTGGTGATGGTACATGTATACTAATGACAGTTTCTTTAAATATAGATCGTGCACTAACTGCACGTGTATGGTTATTGTGCAACTCGTCCTAGAAATGGGTTTAATCGGGGAAACAAAATATCGTACGAAAATCTATCACCGGAAGTCTGGCCATCTTGATGCAACAACACGGTGTTGTTGCATCACGATACTCCCCAGTGAAGATGGGTGTTCAAGGTTTCATAGATTTTTTACATGGGCGTCCACTGCAGAGTATAGGACCAAAAAGTTATCATATTGAGAGGAGTTCAGATTAAAGAGTGTGTGGAATTTTGGGATAAACAGGTTCTACTGTATGGTCAACTTTTTAATTATTTACCTGTATTAATGGAGCATTGGTTGTTCTGATTTTCAATTGTGGTGTATTTTACGAACAGAGTTAAAGGGATTGCAACCTAAAGAAGAGTGATTTATAAATAACAGTTTTATGAACTAAAAGTATTGATATTTTACTAATTAATTGTGTTTCATTCACTCTTACTTATTTTGTATAAAATTTCTGTTTTTGATATCCACACCCCCCCCTCCCCCTTAGGAATATTAATTCTTTAATTAGATATAGGAGATAGTTCTCAAATAAATAATTTCCGATATAGATATATTGTGGTAGTTAATATTGTTTTAATTTTATGTAATTGAAATCTTCAATTATAGTTCTGTATTGTTCTGTATAGTTCTGTTCTGTTCTGTTCTGTTTCTAGCTATATTTTATTACCCAACTGCTTTTAGGCACTACAGTGGCAAATAACCATTTTATTTCAGTTTAACAGTGTCCCTTGTCTTATGTACCCTGTCTTGTATTATGTTCATTATTTATGAAACCACCATATTGTTATTTTTGGATGTTTCAGGACTACTCCTACAAAACAAACTGGAGCAAGTAACATGAAAAAAATCAAGGCATTCTTCGGAGAAAGGGTATGTACTTGCATTTCTGTATTATGCATGCATCAGCATTACAAATAGGCAGAGTTGAGAGAAGTCAATGTTAATGTAGTTTATGTTACTGTACCTCTGCTAAGTTGACTTTCACAGGACTTACAACCTGATGTCATGTGCAGGCATACTGGTGTCATGTGCAGGTATACTGGTGTCATCTGCAGGCATACTGGTGTCATGTGCAGGTACACTGGTGTCATGTGCAGGTATACTGGTGTAATGTGCAGGCATACTGGTGTCATGTGCAAGTATATTAGTGTCATGTGCAGGTATACTGGTGTCATGTGCAAGTATATTAGTGTCATGTGCAGGTATACTGGTGTCATGTGCAGGTATACTGGTGTAATGTGCAGGCATACTGGTGTCATCTGCAGGCATACTGGTGTCATGTGCAGGTATACTGGTGTCATCTGCAGGCATACTGGTGTCATGTGCAGGTACACTGGTGTCATGTGCAGGTATACTGGTGTAATGTGCAGGCATACTGGTGTCATGTGCAGGTATACTGGTGTCATCTGCAGGCATACTGGTGTCATGTGCAGGTACACTGGTGTCATGTGCAGGTATACTGGTGTAATGTGCAGGCATACTGGTGTCATGTGCAAGTATATTAGTGTCATGTGCAGGTATACTGGTGTCATGTGCAAGTATATTAGTGTCATGTGCAGGTATACTGGTGTCATGTGCAGGTATACTGGTGTAATGTGCAGGCATACTGGTGTCATCTGCAGGCATACTGGTGTCATGTGCAGGTATACTGGTGTCATGTGCAGGTATACTGGTGTCATCTGCAGGCATACTGGTGTCATGTGCAGGTATACTGGTGTCATGTGCAGGTATACTGGTGTAATGTGCAGGCATACTGGTGTCATGTGCAAGTATATTAGTGTCATGTGCAGGTATACTGGTGTCATGTGCAGGTATACTGGTGTCATGTGCAGGTATACTGATGTCATGTGCAGGCATACTGGTGTCATGTGCAGGCATACTGGTGACATGTGCAGTTATACTGGTGTCATGTGGAAGCATACTGGTGTCATGTACAAACATACTGATATCATGTGCAAGTATACTAATGCAAGTATCTTATTTCTGAATAAGATTTCTGGTATACCTTTCCTGTACTTGATTACCCAACGTATCAAAAAATTGAAACATATGATTACATCCTATGATCACAGGGCTCCAAATTCTAGTAGGGATATTATTTAGACACTCCTGCTATTGAGGATGATAATTTTGAAATATGTTAACTTTTATTTCATAGACACCTAGAATTTTGGAAGCAAAGGGAGAGACGAGTCCTACATTGGATGGGGCTGATAAAGATGGTGCTTTGAATTGTAAAGTAGCTGTAGCAGACGGAAAACGTGCAAGTGACCGCTCTTGGAAGACATTTTGGGTTGTGCTTCGTGGCCACTTGTTGTACCTATATAAGGAAAAACGGGAAAAAGATCCGAATTCGGTGAGGTTCTTTAAAATTGTGGACTGTTGTATGATTGTATGTTATCAAAAATGGACATACATACATACATACACTGTTCTTTAAAATTGTTTTATTGGAGTTTATTATAGATGTAGGCCTAGCTAATATAATCAAATATTAGGATTATTGCCCATGGAGCGTCCTGGTTACAGTTTCTCCAAAAATGGGGCCTTTTTTGAAAATGAATTGCATTTTTAGGCTATTTCTTCATTGTTTAGGCCTAATCTTCATCATTTAGGCTCAGTCTTTATTTATTGTTTACATGTTTTTCAAATGTGCAATTTCAGGATGTTCCTGCGCTGTATGATGAAGCCCCCATCAATATTGCCTCCAGTATGATCGACATTGCCTACGATTACACCAAGCGTAAGAATGTATTTCGGTTGACCACCTACAATGGATCAGAATTCCTGTTTCAAGCAGAAGATCAGGAGAGCATGTTGTCATGGATACGAGCAATTCAAACAAACAACAATCCAGATAATGTGAGTTGCATAACAACTGTTGCCATGGTGATATGGTTGGATTCCACAATCATATCTCACAGAATGTTTACACGATTATACAATACTGTTCAAAGCAATACATACACAGTAGAATTCAAAATCTACAATTAACATATACTATGTACTGGTACATATAATGAGTTGTGCATGATTAATGCCTAAGCTTTGTTTTCAAGTGCAGCTAGGGTAGTTTTGAACTGTATTGTGTGATTCCCCCTTTATCTCACATGCTTAAAATAACCAGGAATGTTTTTTTATTTTAGGTTTTCATTTCTCATCCAGTCATTTTCTTTAGTTAGCATGTCTCATGTGCTGTATGCCAGAGTGAAATTCTGTGCTACTACTTCCAAAAATATTTGATTACTTTGACTTGTATATTTTAAAGGGTCTTGTGCTTTGCGCAAAACTGAATCTATGATCCATGATTTAAATGTTGATTTGAAAAGAGGCAATTGAATTTATTTATTTGAGATAAACTGAATATGGCAATATAACACTCCTTAAAAAAGTATAATTTTATTTATTTATTTATTTATGTGGTACTTGGTGAAATAAAAGTGTATTTTCAACAGTCAAGACCCTTTAAACCTATGTTTAATACTGTATATATGATACTGTTTGGTGTATTCTGTGGTAGGTACTAGCATAACCTTGTCAATTGTTGAATCACTTTTTCAAGTAAATCTATATCTTCTTATATTACTTACAAGTGCTTTGCCCTATATACTTTCATACTATGTCGGGTCTGTATTTCTCTCTGTATGTCAAAAGTCTTATGTATTATGTAAGTGGAAAAATTTAAATGTTGGATCCCTCAAATGATGTTAATCACGAAAAGAATTTGCCTTTAATACTGTAGAGTCCCTTAAACTATTTAAACATCTATGTTTTCTATTGCATATGTTTTTTCCAACAGCTGTGTGGTAAAGTTCTGTACATGCATTTCTCTAGCTTACTTTTATAAAGAATTATTAAGATCAATAAAACAAATATTTTTACACAAATTTTTGAGAGATGATAAGGGGCCTGGACCTTGGCAGCCTTTAATCCCCCTTTACAGGTATCCAGAAGGTATTGGGAAATAATTATACCTGTGCAGTATTCTTCTTTTTGAAGACCCCTTCACATCAGTATGATAAATTATGTTCATTAAGACCTCTTCACACCAGCACGATACTTTATGTTGTGATTTTGGTCTGTGTTTGTTCTATATGGCTGGGTTTGCTTTGAACAGGGTCCTGACAATGGTCAGCATGATGAGGCAGTAGGCAGCTGGAGCATAGCTAGCATATGGGGCAAATTTAAAAAATCAGTACAGGTAGTTTGTAAATGTTCTGCAATCTGTCCGTCTAATTGTCAACCGCATGCTAGCTTAGGATTGAGCAACATCGCTATCCTGGTTGCACCTGCATCCAATATTAGACGATAGTTGCCTCCTGATATTTCATTAGCTCATAACTTGCTGTTTTGTTGCCGTAACAATGTGCTACGCTGGTCTCATTTTGTTGTTTGTTTATCATTGCATAAAAGCTATATACATGTTCCAAAAAACAATTATGGTAAACAGAGACCATAGTGGCATTTTATGGCATTATATGTTCTTAGCAATCTTAGATGTCGTGGGAATAGTCTGTCTAGCTTAAGTAGATGTTTTCTCATTAACGTTTAGAGAGCATTAATAATTTGCAGCATACATTTATATTTGGAAATTCCTTTACATAAATACAGCAAAGCCGTAGCCAGGAGGGGGTGCATAACCAATAAAAATAGATTTATTAGATAGAAGAAGAAAAGAACTTTAAAATGCTTTTTATTTGAAGCTTCTAGCTCAATTTTGAAGGAGGTTACATCATTTTTGTAAAATTCAAAACAAACATTCAATTTTTTGGGGTTTCTTATGCCACGATTGCACCTCCCAGACTGAAAATCGGATTTTTTTTGGCGATCCCCCTTACTGAAAGCTGGCTACGCCCCTGTACAGTGTACATTACATACAAGATATACATACATGTATGTTCATTAAAGCATTCATATGATGATTTGAGAAAAATACTTGTACACCATGAAGAAATATCTTAAAATTGTACAGAACTCATCATGCAGAACATTGCCTAACATTTTTGTAAATGATCTTATGGTTTTAAATAAAACGTAGACATGGGAATAGAAACTCTGCTTGTAATAATGATTTCTATACAGCAATTCTAACAAAAAAATTAATATTGTTATTTTGATTTGTTTTAGGTGTTCCCTTTGCCCCATGTTTCTTCCATAAGTTAATGCATGATTTTAGCAAAACAGTGCCCAATCCTTGCTTGTTCGAACCTGTATTGTTTTTGAAATACAAACCTTGACCCCTTTAGATGTGTACAGAGAATATCAAGCCCTAGAATGAGAATATTTTTGGTAGCAGTTTTGCATTGAGTTGCACTTTCATATTCAGTTTCTTTATTTTATTTTTACATCATTTAGCTACTCATCTCTTCATTCAAAAATCAACCAAAGAAAAAATGTAATTTGCATATCTATATTTCTAAGTTAAATAAAACAATTATCAGCTTGATTAATATTGACCCAAGAAGGTTTTCAATATGAATTTAAACTATAAACTTTGAAATGTATACATTAATTATCAAAAAATTTGTACTAAAATATGACCCTTAAATTATTAACCCTTTTAGGTCTAAACAAGTGAATATTTTCATATTTTCCAGGAGAAGGGTGGAGTTAACACAGATTTGATAATCCGCAAGACAAATGCTGCAAATGAGAGTTGCCCACCGCCCCATATGCAAACTAAGTCACCACAAGTGTCTCACAAACCTACAAAAAAGACTCTTTCTACCTTGACCCTCAGGGCCAAGTCCCCTGGGGCTCACTCCCCTGCCCCCAAGCATAAGAAAAATGCCCCAGGTATTATTTGAAGTTCAATATGTATCAATCATCAACATTTTTCATCTTCATTAGCATCAGCTGAGTTTTTTTTAATTTGCCTTGAAGTATAAAGTAAGATATAAAACAAAACAAAACTTTTTTAAATCATTACCTTACTTAAAAACTGCAATAAGTTTGTGTAAATATGTTTACAATAAGTTTGTGTAAATATGTATACATTAAGTTTGTGTAAATATGTGCACAACATGTTGGTGTGAATATATGTGTGAATATATGTACAATAAGTTGGTGGAAATTAAGTTGGTGGAAATATGTGTACAATAAGTTGGTGGAAATATGTGCTTTATAACTTTCAGACGAGTCTCCAAAAAGTAAGGAAACAAAGACCTGGAAAGGGAAGGTGGTGAAAAGTTTCAAAAGATTTGGTTCAAGTTCATCTTCTGCAACTGTCGCAGAAGAGGAAGAGATCCAATACTCTGGCATGTTTGCTGTTCCCTTGGAGTTGTGTACACCTTCTCCTCTGAATGAGGTATATTGCACATTACTTACAATTCATGTAATGAGGATTTATATGTGTATCAAGCCAATGTAGAAAAATGGTAAATTTCCAATAAATTTTGTGTCAGATTATGTGATTACTTGTGATTACTTTAAAAACATCTAAACCATGATAACATAACAGCTTGTCCATAATTATGAAGAAAAAATGACTAATTGTAATTCAATTGTAATTCAATAATAACTGAAATAAAATAATTAAAAAAAATGATAACACCTGTAGTTCTATAGTTTTTAGGAATATACATGTACACATAATATTATTGCAGTTCATCCCTATTGTTGTTCATATCTGTACAACAATTGTTGAGGCCAAGGGCCTGGAGACTGTGGGAATATACAGAGTACCTGGCAACAAGGCTGCAGTGAACAGTCTGGAGGAAGAACTAAATAGGGTAAGAACATGTATAATTGAAATGCGATGACTGTTGTTTTTGAAATTAACAGTGTAAAACCGTGTAATTATCAGCAATGACAGATCTGTTTAAGTTGATGAGCAATAAAATTATAAATTGACATTTTTGGTCCACCTCTTCAATTAAAACAGATTCTTAGTAGCTCGGACAGAATTGACCAGGATACGCTATTTTTGTTTATTTATATTAATTTTATATCTACAATGTAATAAAATCATAATTCTTATATGATATGTGACGTCACAATCGCTAGAACAATTGATGTATGTATGACCGCTAAAACTCCTAAATGCAAATAGTTGTGTTTCTTGTCTGTTTATCACATTGGAGTCGTAACAAAGACCTCGATTTTATGATTTATGTCAAATATATGACCTCAAATTTTGTTCTGGCCATTGCCAAAGACCTCAATCGCTATGTGATTTCGGTCTTTTAACAATGAACAGCAACAATGAACAGAATAAAAATGTTGGTCATATATCACGCCATAAATCATTAAATCTCGGTATTTATTCCTTAAATATACCCTGCTTTTTGTAAATCTAATATATTATTTTATTATTTCAGGGTGTAGACCAATTGAACTTGGAGAACGAAAAATGGTTTGATGTAAATGTCATCAGTAGTCTCCTAAAATCTTTCCTCCGCAAACTGCCAGATCCCCTCATCACAGAAGGTATGTTGTTAATAGCGTGCATTGTTGTGAATAGGGTGCATTGTTGTGAATAGGGTGCATTGTTGAGCTAGATTTTTTCAATGCCAAATCTTAAGAATTAATGCAATGTTGATGCAACGCCACTCTGAGGAGAAACCTGCCAATTCTAGAAATGTGGCCTCGATTTCTTCAAGATAACTCAATTGAACCTGCTGCCATTTTGTTCCCTTGAAACTTGATGTGGGTGTCCATCATATACACAGTAATCATCCTAACAAATTTTATGCTTTGTGTCCAATGTTTTTTTAAATCAGAGCACAAATAAGTTGATGGCTTAAGACTTTCACTCTCCAGTCCCATAACCAATAGAAGAGAGTGTTGCATACCAGATACTGTACACCCTGTAATTTTTGTGTGCTACTATATTTTGCACTTTTCGCAAGGTTTGAAAAATCACAAAAATGCGAAATATAATTGTGTTGGATATTAGCACAGTAACTATAAATTAAATCCAAGGCATGTTGGTTATAATAAATTTAATTTAATTTCAGATCTGTATCACTTGATGATTAATGCCAACCGCCTAGTTAAGCCAGAGAAGAGGATGTTACTATTGAAGAAACTTCTGCACGACCTTCCGGAACATCATTTCGAAACCCTCCAATTCCTTGCTGCTCATTTACATAAAATAGCAGACAATGGAGATTTAAATAAGGTGCATATTTTGTACTGTATATTGTGTTTAAAATCATTTTATTCAATTACGCAGTAATTATCACATATAGTCACAGTATAGTCCTTCATACAAACCTTGAATAGTGATTGGATATGAACGTAACTCGGTTTATACAAGTTTGACAAAATGCTAATGGGTTTTCTGAACTCTACATATATGACAAACTAAAGACCAGCTACATTTAGAGTCATTAAGATCAAAACTGTATACATTATTCAATTTCAGTCAAAGGGAGGGAGTTATTACTAATCACTGGTCTACAGGGTTACGAAAGAGGGTCTGGTATCTGGTGTTAAATCCAATGAATTTCATTATTGTTAATTGAAGTTTGGGAAACAATATGAGAATGTGTGATTTTGTACATTGATAAATATTTGACTAAGATATGTTTTGTGAATCTGCCAACTATTTCAACATGATATTTCTATATTCAGATGGATTCGCGGAACCTTGCCATTGTATTTGGTCCTACAATCATACGAACCAATGATGAAGATGTGTTACTTATGGTTAGAGATATGTCTGATCAGTGTAAGATCATTGAGAGCATCATACAACATGTAAGTAGTCATCTTTGCTAAATATACATGTAGAGCCAGAGCGACAGGCTTTACCTCTTGACTACCTGGAGTGACGAGAAATACTCGTCATCTTAGAAATGATTTTGAAACCCAGAGTGACGAGAAATATGTCACAATTTTTTTCACTAAAATTGCTCTTATTTGAACAGTGTTCAACCAATTTACACAAAAATTGTTTTAAAATGTGTATAAATGATCAGCTGCCATCTAATTTTACTAAGATGAGCATCTTAAGTTGTAGGTATGTAGTAAAATCTCAAAAGATGGCAAAAATGAAAAACTCTCTGGTTTCAACTGATTTAAGAGCCTGGGATTCAAGAGGTTAATTATAGAATCTTCATAAATATTCTTGGGCTAAAGGGCATTATTGCACAATGGTTATGAAATTAAGGCATGATTATTGAACCTTTAGGGCTTATTCTAGGCCCGAAGGCCATTATTGTACAATGGTTGTGTAATTCAGGCCTTATTTTAGCCCTAAGGCCATTATTGTACAATTGTTGTGTAATTCAGGGCTTCAGGCCTTATTCTAGCCATAAAACTATTATTGTACAATGTTTGTGTAATTCAGGCCTTATTTTAGCCCTCAAGGGCCCTAAAGGCCATTATTGTTCAATTGTTGTGTAATTCAGGCCTTATTTTAGCCCTAAGACTACAATTGTACAATGGTTGTGTAATTCAGGCCTTATTCTAGCCCTAAGACCATTATTGTACAATGGTTGAGTAATTCATGCCTGATTACAGTCCCTTCAGGCCTTATTGTAGGATCATAGGGCATAATTTTACAATGGTTTTGAAATTCAGGCTTTAAAATCAGCTGAAAAGTATCTTTCAGTATCAAAAATATTGATTTGTGACTGTCTTATGATCCTCAATACAAATACTATATATGTAAAAATATGTATTTTGTAGAATGAGTGGTTCTTTAGTTCGTGGGATGTGGACAATGAGGTACCAGTTGACCTGGTAGCATCTGATCAACCTACAACTGATGCCATAGCAAGGACAACTAGTGAAGAGGGTATGGCAGTTTTTTTCTTCTAAAATGTGTCTTAGTTCAAAATAATTGGAGATAAATGTAAAACTACTAACTTGATATTTTAACCCATTATTACCAATTGTGGATTGTGACTTCATTTAACATTATTAAACCACAGTGAAACCTGTATATCTGAACACCGGTGTAATATGAACACTTCTCAATATGAACACTTCTCAATATAAATACTTCTCAATATGAAAACTTCTCAATATGAACACTTCTCAAAATAAATACTTCTCAATATGAACACTTCTCAATATGAACACTTTCTCTTTGTTCCAATTTCCTAATATCCAATTGACTCCATTGTTTGGCAAACCTTGAAATGTGAATAGCTGCTATTCTGAACACTTTTGGCCAGTCCAAGTAGAATTCAGATTAGACAGATTTTAGTTTACATTGATAGTGTTATAAGTTTGTTCTGTTGTGAAAAGGACATATAAGTAAAAATCAGTAGTTTGTGTAACATGAATTTATTTGCACTGTATTTTATCAAAACCATTAAAACATTAAAAATGATATTATTTTATTATGTTTTTCAGATCACGATGAATCTCAGATTCGAACCAGGGATCTAGTGGCAAACATCATTTCGGCAGCCAATAAGAAGGTCACAGTGAAAGGAAAGAAAGATAGCACTCCGAGTCCACCTGAAGAGACTGATGCGGACTGTGGGTTTAATGAACGTAACATAGACTTAGAAGTAAGCAGACGGAAGGACACCATCCAATTAAATGAGGTCAGCAGTTCAAGTTCCATCTCAGACTCTAAACCTGATGCCTCATCATCTAAGATAGAGATCAATGTAAAATCTTTGAGAGACGCAGCTCCTTCCTCAAGAGGAAGTAGTGCAGAAAAGGACGCTTTCTCGCACAAAAATACATACATTGATCCTGAAATTCCCTCTATTAATGTAAGGAGTTATTCTCATAGTTCGAGTGAATCACGATCATCGTCGGTTGAAAATAATCTTGCCACCGTAAATGAGGAGACAGACCGTGAGCCATCTGGGAAATACTACGTTGCCAAATACCCCGGTATGAGTGATAAGGATAAATCTAAATCCTCTGAGGAAAATAGTCCAACAAGGGAACGAAACTCTGATGCCATGTACTTGAATAAGACTTATGGCAGTAATCAAATGATGCAAGATAGACTTCGGATGTTAGATCAAGAAAAAGAAGCTTTGAGGAAAAAGAACGAAGAGAGTAGAATTGAACATGAAAAGCGGGAACGTGAACGCCAAAAAATAGAGGATGAACTGCAAAAAACCAAAATGGAACTAGAAAATGAGGAAAATGATATTGATTTGAAGAATTATACGAATAAACTCCGGAATAACTCGGATGACGCTTCAGTTAGTTCAGATATTTCTACAACTTCCTCGGCTAATAATCCACTAACATTAAATGTTGGATTTACGACATCAGATTATTCTAGTGCAGCTTCTCCTACATTGACTGATGTTAAGTCTCCCTTACCTGCCACATCGGATTATTCCACATGTAATTCACTGAGTAGTGTCAGTACTGGGGAGCTAAAATCAGGCTCTCCTTCCGGCACTTATTTCCAACTTAGTTCAAAGGTCGATCATTCCAATAACAATGTCTTGCAATTAAAAGACTCTGAGTCAAAGCGTGGGAGGAGATCACCACGACTTGTATCATCCAGCAGGAGTTGGTCATTCGATAGTACAGACTTTGATACGCAGAAAGTTGTAACGCAAGGCAATACTGCGAGACAACGGAGGCGGATGGATACGACAGAATGTAAAAAGGCTCAAGATGATGTAGATACAAACCAAAGTGCCAATAAGTTAATTGTGCCCACGTTGGGTCGTTCAGGGTCGCTTGATTCACTGCGAGATTTCTATGATCAAAATGACACTAGGAACTCATATACATCGAGTAATTCTGACGATGGCAGTGACTTACTCTCGAGTATAACTGCTACTTTAGATCTTAAATATAAACTCAATGGAAATAGTGCTAACACCAAGCGATCAAAATCTAGTAGTAATAGTTCTCAAAGTGCAACTAGTAAAGACACCACTAAGAAATCATTAGCTAAACATGTGCCAATAACTGAGGAACCTGTCACAAAACAACAGGAAAAACCAACTATATGTGTTTCAAAAGAACCTAAACCTAAACTATTTCGAGACCCTAGTTTACATAGGCTTAAAAAGTCAGAGACTATTATAGGGATTGCATCTCGGTTTGAACGTCCTAGTGAACAATCGGATATTTCCCCTTGTAGAAGGGGGTCTGTACCCGTTAATTCTGACTCAAGTACTGTTTATAGGAGAAATCGAGCACGTTCAGAACCTAGGAATTATAACAAGGATAAAGACAATAAAAGTAAAACGTCTGTCGATAAAAAGTCAAACTGTCTATCTAAAGTTGATAAAACTGAGGCAAATAGACGGGAGAAAGATCTCAAACGTGACAGTAGTTCTAGTAGTCATAGTAACCAACACAGTGTTAGCAGTAATCGTAGTGGCAGCTCTAGTGAAACAAAAGACAAACCTTCTCTAAAGACACTTACCATAGAAAATACCTACCATAGCACATATACGCCAGTTTTTCCCAGTCCTGTCCATAACAAATCCAAGTCAGCTTCTCCGCAGGTGAAACGTAGAAAAAACAAGAAGGTTAATCGCAGGCATACTGTTGGGGGAACTAAAGACATTGATCATTTTAAGGCCCTGATGCAGGTGATCCTTCCTTCTAAAGCAGACTTAAAGCTTACAGCCTGGGAGCGCCTAAAACCGACGCAAGAATCCCCACTCGAGGAGCACAATTTAAAATCGTGGATTCAGAAAGAGCGACTTAGGACCAGTAATCCTGATATGTTCAGACAATTACAACAGTCTCGATCTGGAAGTATCAATGGAGACATTAACTCTAGCAATTCTAAAACCTCACCAAGTAGAAATCGTTATAGCGGGAGCGCATCTTCCAGTAATAACTGTTCTCCATCATCTAAGGGGAAAATTCTCGAATCCTCTATATGAGATATACTTCTTTGTTGAGTTTATTAGAATAGAATTGAGTAAAACAATTGTTAGTTCAGTTTTACTAAATACAATGCTCCTTTGCCAACTAATCTATATGTCCTGAAAATGACTTGTCAAACAAATGTATTTAATAACTTGTATGGATATATATAATTTCGGAAACATTGTGTATCACACATCATTGTGTATCACACATCATTGTGTGTCACACATCATTGTGTATAATATTATTATGACATCATCTTGTTGACCAAGATAATGAATGAAATTAAGAATTCAATTAATAATTATAATATATAACAATTTAGTTTTATTTGAAATTTGGATCCATAATAGCTATAAGATGTTTATTTTACTGATACACTGACATAACGAGGTGTATTTGTCATGTAAAATTTTTACATTGTATTGTTTGGATGACAGCAAAATGTTAAATGTGATGAGATAGCAGAGTTGCAATTGCAAAGAGGGAGAACCAGCCATTTCCCCCCACACCAATTATTTTTCAAAATTTTAGAATCTTGACTAATCAGGGGCGTACCAAGAAAACTTTTGCTAGGCTGTTGCCTTGCATGCTCATGCCTGGCAACGTTCATGACTAATTATTTGGCCTCACATTGTTATTGCATTTTCCTCTAAATTCACTGAGACGATGTTTGTTACTTGTTTTACCATCTGAGTAAAGATGGCGTAACAGATTTGCAAATAATGTGCCCTCTTAAGCTCAACTTTATCGTCACTCTTCAAATTCGTGATAGTTCTTTGAGCCTTTATCCAATCAAATATTCTGAAAATCAAAACACTACATTTTCTTATATTCATTTCACGTTTAAACTCCCATAAAGTCTACGAAAGCTAAACCTGTAATAGTTAAAGGGACATGTGACTGAAAAGCTGGAGAAGGTTCAGAGTCATTTACATTTTAACATGTCTGCTTCTCTCTCTTTAAAGCGCCTTGTAGCCGAATATTACTGTGGAGTTTTGAATTTGGTGACATCTTTTGAGATGTACCACGTGCTTTTAGTAATTAAAAAGTTCAAAGTTTAATGTGAGTTGTATATTTTAGTTTTTAAGAATGTACATTTTTATATATGTATATAAGGCGCCTGTGATCCCAATAGCTCTACAGGAATCTACCCTGAGTTGTTATATTGAAAGATAATATGTTTATATTCTGTTAACAGGGTCAGGCATACATATTGTGCAAATACAGTGAAACCTGTAAAGTGGAACACCTCTACAAGTGGAACACTTTTTAGTCCCAAGACCAATTGACCTCTTGTTAAATGAACCTCTGTAAGTGGAACACCTCCCAAGTGGAACAGTTTTTAGAGGTACCAAAGGCGTATTGGCAAATCCTGTGCAAGTGGAATGCGTTTGTATGTGGCACTAAAGTGTTCCACTTGGAACAAAGGTTCATTTAATTCAAACATTAAGTCAGTGGATCGTGGGACTTGAAGTATTGCACCTCCAGAGGTGATTTTACTGTACTATTTAACACAAATGCTCTCTGAATAGAAATATTATTATAAGGCAATTGTCAGTATATTGTTTAGCCTGGCTGTATCACATGCTTAATGTTCTTCAATGTTTGTGAAATTAATTTAAGGATGAAATGTAGTTTGAGGAATTTAATAATGTATTAAATTATTTATATGGAAAGTCACTGTTTATCTATCGGTACATGAATTTAGTGTACATTATTAAGCAGTTTTTCTTAAACTCAGAAGGTGCATTTTAATAATAATATTCATAGTTTATGGTTTTAAATGAGATGATTGACTGTTCTAGAATTTGAATATTGGATATATCTGAATGTTTGTATTAAAAGTTCAAATATTATTGAGATTTTTGTATGATCGCTGGTTTCGTATTGTATAATGATAAGGACAAGGGGTGTCCCAGAACTTTAGAGAAAATCTTTTAACTTCTTGGACACCCCTCATTCAACATTAGTCAAAATACAGGGTGATGTGCATTTTCAGAATGATGGTGTACTGGATAGAAGAGCAGTGATACTTGTTCACTGTATAAGACTGGACCAAGTATTTATTTAAATGTTCAAAGGAACATTCAGTACACTTCAAAACTAATCTAAATCACAACACTATGGAGTTATGTAACGCTCAATGTATGTCAATTTTTCATTAATTTCGATGTGTACTGTAGTGTTTTATGTAGTCGAGAAATAGCACACATTGACGTGCTTTTAAAACCCAGGTCTTCATATAGCTGTTTGCCTGGGAAAATATTGAATGTTTTATATTGAAATAAGGAGTGAAAGTTAGTTGGTATTTAATTGTTTAATTGCAAGTATTAAAAAAAGCAATAATTCCAACAAATTTGATGCTGTTTTGTTCATTTTTGTCATTTTGGCACACCTAGAGTAATTATATATGCCACCCACCCATTGGACATTGAACAAATTATAAAGAGAACTTTATATACTTAAAGCATGAGGAGCCATTGTCAGTGTCAACCTGTTGTGGTATCCTCTCTCATGTCCTCATCTGACCCTATGTGAGTAATGAAACTGAGAAACTGTTATTACTTATTATCCCATCGAACAAAGTTCGGAGGGATATAAGGAACGCCTATACACCGTACATCCGTCTGTCTGTCTGGGCAATAACTCAAATACCGTTTGCCTGATTTTGTTCATATTTTGTACACATATACCCAATTGGGGTAGAAGTTCTGCTTGAAAACCGATTTTCAAAATTTTTTTATTTTTTATGCCAATTTTACAGTAATTTAGGCACTGCATATACAACTGTTATAGCAATATGTTTTAAATGTAAAAAAGTTATATAGGACATTGATTAAGCTAGAAATGTAAAAACAGAAGAAATACATGGCAGCCATCTTGAAAAATGGCTGCCTTTGCACGTCATTTTACGCTTTTTGCTGTAACTTGAAAAGTAGTGGAGCGATTTTGTTCATATTTGGTATGTGAATACTTTGGTAGTATTTTTAGGTGTGTTATTTATTTTGGTAGCATTTTTACGTGTGTTATTTAACACTTTTTACTATAAGTCAAAAAGTAGTAGAGCGATTTTGTTCATATTTTATATGTGAATACTATAAGCATGGCACACTGTCTTATGACACTTTGGGTAGTAGGTGGCCATTTTGAAAAATGGCCACCATTTTTACCATAACTTGAAAAGTAGTGGAGCGATTTTGTTCATATTTGATATGTGAATACTAATGAGCCTTGCACACTGTCTCATGACACTTTGCGTAGTAGGTGGCCATTTTAAAAATGGCTGTCATTTTTACATTTTTTACTATAACTCGAAAAGTATTGGAGCGATTTTGTTCATATTTGATATGTGAATACTTTAAGCATGGCACATTGTCTAGTAAAACTTTGGGGAGTAGTTGGCCATTTTGAAAAATGCCCACCATTTTTAAGTGTGTTATTTTACATTTCTTATTATAATTCAAAAAGTAATAGAGCGATTTTGTTCATATTTGATATGTGAATCCTTGTAAGAATTGCATCCTGTCTTATGACATTTTGGGTAGTAGGCGGCCATTTTAAAAAATGGCCAGCATTTACATGTAAATGTGTGTGATTTTTTAAAAATTTTCTTTGTGGCTACTTAAAAGCATATTACTTCTTGTACTTCTTGTCTTCATTTTGAAAATGGTGGCCTTTCTTATGGGTGTTATTTTACGATATTTGCTATATATTTTGTTTGTCAGCCATGCCAGCCATTTCTGTTCGATGGGATTTGCTACGCTTTGGCATTGCCGTTGTTCTGGTTAACTCTGTCAACCCAGTATCCTGAACCTTGTATAGGATAATCTACATATATATTCATGGTCACTAGCGACTACATGTATTTAGAAAGGGCAAGGTATCTCTGAGGGCCATACTTCCCATCAAACTATTGTTATACTTCAAAGGCTACCCTGGTTTTTGATCAAGTCTTCAATCCCATCCAGCAACAAAAACTACAGAGGTTCTGTGATCATAGCACTTGATTATAAAACAAACGAAGAATATATGCATTCACTCTTATATGTATTTATCTAATCTTTAATGAAATAACAAATAAAATGGAAATCTGGTGGCAAACATAGCACAAATATAAACACTTCAATTTTTGATCTTCTACTTTTGTCTATGTCAGATGAATATAATATATAACATACATTTTTTAAATTTAGAAAATCATCAGTGATTCAAAGAGAAAAACATAATTTTCATTTCAATACAATGAAATGAGGTGACCAATGCTTACAAGTATCAGTACAGTATTCTACTATTTTCACTGGATAATGGTTACATTATCACATTGATTCTAAAAAAAGTTTATATCCAATGTGTAAGTTACACATCATTATGAAGTAAAAACAGTTATTAGCTTTTTAATGCCGCAATAATTATAAAATAATGGGTTAAATGGGTTCCAATACTTATCATCTATATTGTGGATACAATTAACACTTATGCATCAATATCCATCTGATAATGGGTACAATAAAGTATCTAATATAACAGAAAAATATCAAGATCTCTCTTCAATAATGGATACAACATACCAAATACTCCAATGGATACAATAACATATAAATAGATTCAATATTATATGAATTGCACTCTCATTTGGATAATGGATAAAATGTGATCTATTTAACTTTCTTCTCTAAATACACTCTAAGTACACTGTAAATGACAATTATTGTTTTTCTGGAGTGATCATATCAGTGATCTCCCCAGCATTAAAGCAAGTGGGCGCATCACCCATCTGAGATTTTTTAAAAACATCCTTGTACCCACGTCCCACATGAAAATCCATTTGGACCCACTTGAAAATGAGAAAAATCATGAAAAATAGGCATATGTTGGCCAATTTTGGTCTGAATTGTGAAATAAGAATTTTACACCCAATTGAGAAAAAATCCTGTGGAGACCACTGCATATTATTACAAATATATTTAGTATAATTAACCTAAAGTGATTACTCGAGTAAAACAAGGCAAATATAGCGAGATCACTCCAAAATATCTAAACATTTTAACATTTTGAGCCTCTTTATGTATAGCTACTTTTGTTGGGTTGATCTGTCTTAACACATCCTCATGAGATGAAAAACACGAAATAAGGTCTAAAACAGGCTTTCAAAAAATATTGATTTGGTTATAGTTATGTACTGCAAATGATTAATCAGCCATCATCAATTGCTTTAAGCATTATACATGTAACATACACCAACAACATCTCACATTATATGTTTCAATATATAGAGCTCCATGTACTCTATTAAATATGTTTATGTAAGTATGGCAACTTTAGTGACTATATAGTTGTGAATTGTTATAGTTTAAGCAATATCAGTGGCTATAAGCGTTATATCATACACCAACGACATCAATCATTATATGTCTCAATATATAGAGCTCTACATACTCTATTAAAAATATGTTTATGGCAATTTCAATGACTATTTACAGTAGTTGTGAATGGTTATAGTTTAACCAATATCAGTTGCTATAAGTGTAATATCATACACCAACAACATCAATCATTATATGTCTCAATATATAGAGCTCTTCATACTCTATTAAAAATATGTTTATGGCAATTTCAATGACTACATAGTTGTGAATGGTTATAGTTTAAGCAATATCAGTGGCTATAAGCATTATATCATACACCAACAACATCTCTCATTATATCTCTCAATATATAGAGCTCTACATACTCTATTAAAAATATGTTTATGGCAATTTCAATGACTATATAGTTGTGAATGGTTATAGTTTAAGCAATATCATATAAGCGTTATATCATACACCAACAACATCAATCATTATATGTCTCAATATATAGAGCTCTTCATACTCAATCAAAAATATGTTTATGGCAATTTCAATGACTATATAGTTGTGAATGGTTATAGTTTAAGCAATATCAATAAGCGTTATATCATACACCAACAACATCTCTCATTATATCTCTCAATATATAGAGCTCTACATACTCTATTAAAAATATGTTTATGGCAATTTCAATGACTATATAGTTGTGAATTGTTATAGTTTAAGCAATATCAGTTGCTATAAGCATTATATCATACACCAACAACATCTCTCATTATATGTCTCAATATATAGAGCTCTACATACTCTATTAAAAATATGTTTATGGCAATTTCAATGACTATATAGTTGTGAATTGTTATAGTTTAAGCAATATCAGTTGCTATAAGCATTATATCATACACCAACAACATCTCTCATTATATGTCTCAATATATAGAGTTCCACATACTCTATTAAAATGTGTTTATGGCAATTTCAATGACTATATACAGTAGTTGTGAATGGTTATAGTTTAAGCAATATCAGTGGCTATAAGTGTTATATCATACACCAACAACATCTCCCATTATATGTCTCAATATATAGAGCTACTGTATTAAAAGTAATTTAATTAGTCTAGCTACAAGCCCTTGCACACTGTGTGAGAAGGTGTTTTGTCAAGTAGAGGGGGGTTTGTCAGAGGCTTGTAGCAAGACTATAATTTAATATAGTCTATTGCCCTATAATCAATATGCCATAGTTCATGATAATTTCAATAGCTCTATAAACTGTGCATATATCAATGAATGTCACTAATGTGTCTCAATATACATAGTTACTACCACTGGCTAGGGTAATAAGAAAATGTTTAGCTTTAAAATATTTTACTTGCATATTTGGCCCATGTACAATGACATAATAAAAAATGTTCTGTCATCATGAATTAATATACTTCACTGGTACATTGAGCCTTATTTACAATGTACATGTACATGTGAAATCATTGCAAAACCAAATTAATGCTAAACACTTTTTTATTTACCCTATCCTTGGTGTGTTAGTGTCCTTAGAGACACACTGATCATTGCACATGATCGTTCTTCCATGAGTTTTCACTTAACTCACTGTCTCCATATGTACATGATGTACACCCATGTCTTTTCAAGAACATGTCTTGTTAGTTTGGTTAAACGTGATCACCCAAACTAATGTCTCTGCATCATATAAGCTTGTGATTTGTCAACTATTTGTCTAGTAAGTGCGATCACTCTGCCGGTGTCTTTGGGCCTATAGTGGTCATGTGGAGTGTGGGGGTAGGGTACCCTGTTAGGGTAGCGTGGAGTTGTTTGGTTTCCTGCTAGACCTTCTAGTTCTGTAGCATCATCTCTCAACTAAAAAGTATGAATAAGAAGTTGAGTTCTCAGAGTGGGAATCCAGAGAACTACTGCATAGCCAACACATATTTGCTTGATAGAACAGTACAACACAGTGAGTTTAATCTAGATGTCATTTAATTATTCATACTTTAATGGTTAAAGTGCAAGTTTCCTTTATACGTGGGCTCATAAAGTCTTTGATAAAACATTACTCACTGCTACCCACCTAATTAAACAGACGTATCGTCGGTGTATCATGGCGGAACTTCCTCCGGGACTAGGTTTCGGTAAGATTTTTTTATTTCCCGATTTACACCTACTTATAAGTCACATTGTGGATAATAATTTGGCTCAAAGTTAAGGAAGATAGTCTAGTTTGAGAATGTGTCGATGGTTTTAGGTTTTATATGTTAACAAAGACACAATTCACGTATTTAGTCCCTCGCTTTTCTTACACTGACGAACGACCAATATCAGTGTAATATTGGCAATATTTATGCCGATCGTCAGTGTAAGAAAAGCGAGGGACTAAATATGTGAATTGTGTCTTTGTTAACATATAAAACCTAAAACCATTGACACATTCTCAAACTAGACTCTCTTCCTTAACTTCGAGCCAAATTATTATCCACAACGTGACTTATAAGTAGGTGTAAATCGGGAAATAAAAAAATCTTACCGAAACCTAGTCCCAGAGGAAATTCCGCCATGATACACCGACGATGCGTCTGTGTAATTAGGTGGGTAGCAGTGATTACTGAGGAATTCTAAAACAGACTCATGAACGATCCCTGGAGTCCAAATAACTGTCCTATTTTAACTTTTTAGCTCACATGGTGAGCTTTTGCAATCACTCACTTGTCCGTCCGTCTGTCTGTCCGTCCGTCCGTCCGTCTGTCCGTCCGTCTGTCTGTCCGTCCGTCTGTCCGTCAACAATAGTGGCACGTTTTAAAACCTCTGTCGATAGGATTCCTGTTTTAAGTTATTTCTGTTCAACATCAATTCAGAAAACTCCCCTATGACTCCTGGTTCAAAAGCTCGCCTATTTTCAAAATGGCCGCCATTTTTGTCTCGCGAAACTTTTGACCCATTTCCTAGCTTTGCAAATAATTTCAAGTGTCCTACATTGTAAAAATCCATGTCAATGTAAAGAGTAGATGTATGAAATAATTTTGTTACGAAAAATCAGCGAAAAATTATATCCATTTATTTATTTTCAGCCATTTTAGTTAACATTGATTTGTCCATCTGTCTCGCAAAATCCACTTTTGGACCATTTACCTTAAACCCTCTGTCGATAGGATTCCCATTTTAAGTTAATTTTGTTCAACATCAATACAAAAAACTCTCCTATGACTCTTGGTTCAAAAGCTCGCCTATTTCAAAATGGTTGCCATTCTTGTTTCGCGAAATTCACTTTTTGCCAAGTTCCTAGCTTTACAAATAATTTCAGCTGTCCTGCATTGTAAAAAGCCATGTCACTGTAAAAGGTAGTTGTATGAAATAATTTTGTTACAAAAAATCGACAAAATATTATATCCGTTTTTTTTATTTTCAGCCATTTTAGTTAACATTGATTTGTCCATCTGTCTCGCGAAATCTTCTTTTGGACCATTTGCTTTAAAGCTGTGTCGATAGGATTCCAGTTTCAAGTTATTTTTGTTCAACATCAATAGAGTCTACAAAAAACTCCCCTATGACTCCTGGTTCAAAAGCTTGCCTGATTTCAAAATGGTCGCCATTTTTGTCTCGCGAAATTCAATTTTGGCCTATTTCCTAGCTTTACAAATAATTTCAGGTGTCTTGCATTGCAAAAAGCCATGTCACTGTAAAGAGTAGTTGTATGAAATAATTTTGTTACAAATTATTGGCAAAAAATTATATCAGTTTTTTTTTCAGCCATTTTAATTGACTGAGAGACAGATGGCTTGAAATAATTTTTTTAACAAAAAATCAGCAAAAAATTATATCCGTTTTTTTCTGTTACCATGTGAGCCCAGTACCCACGGTACTAATTTTTATTTCTTTAAAACAGACTATATTAGAACAAGATTGATATGGCATCAGCACCCACATTCACACACGCACACCCACCCGCCATCCACATACACACCCGCACACCCACATGCACACCCACATACACACTCGCACACCCACATACACACCCGCACAGCCACATACACACCCGCACAGCCACATACACACCCACATACATACCCATCACCCACATACACACCCGCACACCCACATACACACCCGCACACCCACATACACACCCGCACACCCATTTGCACAAGATGACAACAATATAGCAGTTTTCCAAAGTGTGGTAAAAAGTACCTCATTATCACTCAAGCTTCCGGCAATCAGTGGTAAGCTGTGTGTGTTTGTCCAAACATTCCTGGCATCTATGTAGTAATGAGCTGCTTTGAGGGCTTTCTCTGCTGCCTGAAATATTGTTAAGAACAACTCAGAATTTGGTAAACAATTTGTTAGACTGAACTTGGAATTTCTATATTTGATATTTCAAGGAACCTATTTTTAACTGTGACCTTGACCCTAACTATGGAAATTTGAATTAATTCTTTGACAAATTTATTTTTGACACTCGGTACTATTTAGGAAGATCGATACCATGGTTAAATTCATGGACATGATTAAATCATTGCAATAATTATGTAAATTCTTCAGATTCATATCAATCATTTTTCAAAATAGCCTGAATGAAGGGTTGAAAACACCAAATCAATAACAAACTAGAAAAACAGCAACTCCACGGAGTAGCAAATCCCACCGCCATCTTGAAAACTATTTCTTGAACAGGGCTACTGTGTCCCTAGGCATAATCATATAAAATTTCAACCAAATCTGTTCACTGGTATTTGAGCTATCAAAGATTACGTTTATTTATGAAAAATTGCCGCCATTTTGAAATTAAGTGGCCATCTTGAAAAATTTTTGTGGAACATAGCTACTGTGTTCCTAAGCATCATTATATAAAATTTCCGTTCACTGGTATTTGAGTTATCAAAGATAACATATTTTTACAAAAAAATGGCCGCCATTTTGAAATTAAGCGGCCATCTTGAAAATCTCTTTTTGAGCGAAACTCCTTTGTCCCTAGGCATCAGCATATAAAATTTGAACCAAATCCGTCAACTTGTATTTGAGTTATATTACGTATTTGAGTTGTATTACGAAAAATGATGGCCATTTTGAATTGAGCGGCCATAATGAAAATTCCTTCTCGAGCAGAGGTCCTACTTTCATAAGGCATAAGCCTATAAAATTTGAACCAAATCCGTCAACCAGTACTGGAGTTATCACCCGGACGGACGGACAGACAGATGGACGGACGAACGGACGGACGGCTTTTCTATATCCCCCTCGAACTTCGTTCGGTGGGATAATAATGCAGATTTTGCTTCAAAATTTAAAATAAAATTTCTATATTATTGATATTGTTTTTTCAGACAAGCAGAGGTATCTGATTTTTGGAGATGTTTTTCCAAATATTGTCTTAACATATATAGTATAATTGGGACAAAACATCATAAGTTTTTGAGTTAAATGTAAAAATAAAAGAAGTTATATAATTCTCAATCTTAATATACTTGCTTTAAAAGCATGCAGTATAATGTTACCTGGAGGCAAATGTAGCAGATCCATTCCTTAGACTCCACAAGGGCTCCGATTTGTGCAGTGCTGAGGTCATGTTTAGCCTGTTTCAACCACCTTGCAGCCTCCCCAGGCTGAGGGTTCTTGGCTGCCCTGCGGAATGATCGGGAATATTGGAAGCTATAACAGTATGTTTGTGTGTCTGAAGTAGCTGAGTCATTTGAAACCTGGCTGATATATGCTTCCCGTTGAGCAATATGACACTGTGATCTTTTATATAAGTAATCCCTAACTCTCATGAGTGATTGATGGTATGTCGGGTGATTATCATCTCTCTCATAATTGTAGGTATCATCAACATCCATTCGGTTTTTATCAACCTTTGATAGTCTCATATTTTCATCTAGTATATGTTGCATGATCACATTGCAAAATTCTGCCTCTCTATTAGTGTTTTCACTTGATTGCCACATTTCCATTAATCGAGTAACACGACGTATCCTGATATTTTCTTCCAAATCCCACATCTCTTCCAGAATTTCAGAGATTTCCTTTTTAACATCATCAACAGTAGGCAAGGGTGTGCCCATAGTTTTATGTTCTCTGATGTCCTCTATTGAAATGAATGCATATAAGTCAAAATCAGGTTTTTCAATTTTTTCTTCACTACCAATGTCTATCTCATAAATACTGTATGTCCTATTTTCCTCTTTTTGGACTTCCCTAAGAATCTTTGCATACTTGTAGACAGGTGGGAGATTTGGATCAAGAGCTATCTGAGCCAAAATGCTATCATCCATATAACCCACATAGATTCCCGCCATCAAACTGCCTGGTCGTTTTATTAATAAATGGTGATTGTCTATGGGAATATAGCTCCCAAGTTTTGGTAAAAAATTATTCCCCTGTTGCAGTTTGTTGTACTCTCTTACATTGTCTTCATCTAACATTCTTTCAATAGATTCAGGGGTATCACAGGTAAGCATTCGTAATAATCTGAGGTTTTGTCCATTGAGATTTTTGTGCCATGTGGAAAGCATGTTGGCCAGTGGATCAAAGGCATCCGTCTTTTCAATGTTTTGTGAATTGATATAGAACCTTGTTCCATTAATTTGATCAATATGATATCCTTTCTCTTTTGTTGTGTTTGAAAGAGTTTCATCATTTTCTTTATGTTTTAATACAGTTGTTATCTTTTCAGTGACAATGATCTGTAAGTCTTCTAACTTTTCCTGTATCAATTCTTCAAGTTGTGCTTTTTTATCTTTGCATTCAATGTCATAGATCAGTCTGAGGACACAAAGTATAAAATGCTCACTTTGCAAAGTAGCCTTTATTTGCTCAACTTTGGGAATTTCATGAACATGTTCCAAACTCTCCTCCAATAGTACTTCTATCACCATAGATGAGAGCATTCTTGGTTGAAGGTGCTCTGGCAGTAACTTCAATAACTCTACTTCATTATGCACATGAATGCCAAAACTGTTTGGGGTCAACTCCTCCATGAAAGGCAATTTCTCAAACACACTCTCATCAAGTCTATCTTTATAATCAGGCCTATCATTGCACACAAGAGAGACAGCATCTTCCAAATGACCTTTTTGAGACATAAGATAAAGCTTATCTACATCTGTGATGTAAGGTGGTGTTTCTGTTTCTGCCAGGTTTGCAACCATCTTAAAAAACTGTTTTGAAGCATGTTGATAGGCTTTTAAAGCATTTGGATCGTTCATGATATCAGTGTTACTACTCCTACTGGTACTGTAGATTTCTTTCATCACCTGGGATAGCTGATACAATGTGACTGTTTTGGTACAGCCTAGTACATGAAGAATATCTAGAGATCCATTTAGTTCAGGTGGTACTTTGTAGAGATATCCAGGAATTTCCTCTCCAGAAAAAGGTTCAGATAACAGTTGACACGGCATGACAAGCTTCTTCCCCTCAGCAACAGTGATGACTTTTGATGATTTAAGTGGATCCAACGTTGATTGGTTAATGATGTTTTCACATTGTTCATTCAGATAATTAAAAGTCTTGGTACATATACTGACAACTTTTTTTCTTTCATGATCGTTAAGGTTTCTTACATCAATGTATTTGGATACATTTACCCAGTTTTTCACTACCTGTGAGACTGAAGGTTGCTTTTGTGAAGATAACTGGCTGTGGAAACTGTCTTTTATCTTGTTCAATTCACTGTTTTGATGTGTTCCCAATTGCATGTATGTGCTGTGATGCAGATTTTCAAAAGTGATTCCTGCTACATTAGCATACTGAGGTAACAAATTTCCCACAGTCCATGTCATGTCTGCATGTTTATGACTCAGAGAGTCTTTGAAGCAAATATATGGTAGAAATGTTTCCCCCTCACTTGCAGGAAGGCCTACTTGAGGATGTAAGCTTGATAATGTGTTGTTGACTTTGTGTGGTGCAATGAACTTTATTGTGTTTACCTTACCAAGAATTTTTTCATTTAAGACATTTTCTCTCCGAAATAGATGCCTTAGTAGTACTTGAGACATTTCCTGTACTTTAGCCCATTTATGAGAGTTTTGATCTTCACATCCACCCTCTGTACATGTTCTATTGGTTTCCATCATTTTGTTGCTATTAATTGTGGCCATATGTAATAGCTTTGCTTCACTCTCGATTTCCTTCGCAAATTTAACAAAGAGTTCACTGTCTACAAAGGTCTTCAGACCAAATCTACGAAAAAATGGCACCCAGTTCTCTTCACAAGGTCTGTGTTTTGAACCACCCTCATTAATTTGTATCTTATAGAATGGATACCATGGCTTAGTAAGGCACTTGGAAGGTCGCATTTTACTAAAGACCCTATTCTGAGGATCATAGAACTCTGAGACACAAAATAACTGTGTTTCATCATCTGGATCTGCTATGAATTTCAGTGTTCGTAAACCATCAAGGAGACTATTTCTCTCTTGTTGAAAATATCCAAGTTTTTCCCTTTCATCACAACTTTCAGGGTTTTGAAATCTGACAATACTGGCATCTAATCTTGGAAACACAATGTCCTTTATGTACCTAAGGTGCTCTACTCTTTGATCGTGGCTCAACAGGTCAAATTGACCGAAGACAAAAGAGCAGTGGAGCTCTGTAGAGGTAAATGTTGCAAAGCCAAGCCATTTGTATAAAGTATTGAATATCCTGTTTTCTCTTATAAAGCACCTCCTATTTGCCTTTATATTATCGCTCAGCCAACAGTCCATTCCAGCTGTAGGTACACCATCTGGAATAACATATACGTCTATGTTAGTTACTGCCACACATTTATTTAGCATTGTGACAAATACTGGAAGACGTCGTAGTGCAGATTTTGCATGTTGATCGAACTTTATATCAGAAAGATTCATTGCAAAATAGGCTAAAATTGAAGTTGCATCATTGGGTTCAGGTGTAAAATTGTTCCATATTTTGTCTGCTATGTATGACATCATGTAAAGCATCTTACTAGGATTATACAATGTCGTAACCAGTAACTGGACAAAGGCTCCATTATTCCATTTTGGTGACAAGTCTACTGAGTTATAAGGATTTACTCCAGAAACATCCAGACTCAGAATAGGTATCCTTTTTAGGATATTTGTTAGCTCAAAGTATTGTATTTTCATGTCTGGTCTGAAAATGTGGTCAAATACTGTATTGCTTCTGCTTAGAGGCACCAGGACTTGCACTTCATTTTGGACTTTTCCCATGATCCTTTTTGCAATACATGGTATTACAGCCCATTTAGAAAGTGGCTGTAGACAGGTTTCAATACATTTTATCATCCTTTGTACATTGTCATCCATATTGCCAGCCAAAATCTGTTGTATTTGTTTTGTTGATCTTATAAATGTCCAGAGTTCTTGTATCCATCTTAGCAGTTTCAATTTTTCATTTGTTGGCAACTCAACTTCCATTTCTTTGTCAAATAAGTGAATTGATAGCCAAGACCTTGATAGCAACTGGGCTAAGGCCTCAATTGTTAATTCACAGAATACAGACTGATCTTTGCATTTTTTCAAACTGTGAACAAGGTCCTCATGAATGAACTGTTGTGCCTCTTCTGGAACCAGATCAAGGAATTCAGTGAGAAACTTTTTATCAATTGAGGAAAAATGGGTGAGGATTCCGTCCTGACGTACACATAAGGGTAGATTCTCCAAATCTACATGTTCATCTTCCAAACAGTATTCTAGTATTCCTTTGACACAGCAGATTTTGGAAAATGGTGAAGATTCCAATGAAATTTGTAGTTCACAGAGTGGGTTGTGTAACTTCCATGATTTCAGAAATCTCGAAACAGCAGCTGGGGATATAGTTTCGATATGGATTTCAGCACTTTCAAAGTTGTTCTTGATAGTTTTAGGCATGTCTAGTACATTCATGCCTAGCATCTTGAGAATATTAGACATGGTTGGAGTTGGTCGTTCTTGTTCCTTTGCCTTTATTCTTCCATCAAAAGTACGCTTTGAAGCCGCAAGCCTCTTTGGGATGTTGTCATAATAAACATCATTTTCTCCATTGTTTTGAAGAGACACCCAATCTGTAGTACATTTATCTTGTGAGGTCTTTCTGACAACAGGTAGAAGCTTAGCATCACAATTGGCAATTGTTTTATATAATGTGATGCTAAGATATTCCCAATAACTAGGACTGATAGGTGGGGACTGAGGGACTGAAGGAAATAAGTGATAAAACTTCTCAAGATGACATATTGTAGTTTCATGGGAATGTGTTTGATTCAGCTTAAGAGCAGCCTTCATATGTTGTATGTGGGATATATAAGCAGGAACAACAATTTCCTTCAATACAAGTTGATTCCACAAATGCCTGTACTCTTTGAAATCATCAAACAAATTTCGCCTTGCATCATCTAGTGCAAAATGGCCATTTACATGTACAGGCAGATGAATTCTTCCAGGTAGTGGTAAGAAACAGAATGCTCTGGACTGTGTCTGTTCTACTTGTTCAGTCCTTCCTGCTACAGCTCCATGTGGTAGAAGTAGAAGTTTCTTTTTCTGGAAGGCCGATTGAACCTCAGGTAAAATCTCTGTTCCCTTGTTGAAGCCAAATCTTCTTGAGATGTTCCATTTCTCCCTTTTCCCATTGTTATCAATCAAGATCTTTTCATATGATACTTCTATGAGGGGAATTTTATCAATTGTTATATCCCCTTTTTTCAAAGCTGAACTCAAGTGAGACACCTCTTTGTTGAAATCATTCAGATTATCTCTATCTTGATCAGACATAGTAGATTGCACCTCATACCGTTTCAACAGTGCACCATTTTTGTTTATTGTCCCAATAGCAATTTTCTCAACTCTGTTTACAAATAGCAAGGCATCAAACATGTCATCTTTGAACTTATCTAGCAATTTTTGTACTTCTTCTATGGTAACCTCTTCATTGCTTATTGCTGATATTGTGGCATTCTGTTTAGTTCTCAGTGGCAATCTAAACAAGGTTGACTCATTTTCGGAGAAAAGATCATGTTTGTAGCATTCAAAAACATCAGGATATTGCGCCTGTGTTTTTTCATTGGCATTTATTTGTATACCAGCAACCTGACTTTTTTCATGACATACATATTTGAGGTTGGGATCAAATGCACACAATGTTGTCTTTACTTCAGAGCCATTAGTAAGGAAGGTTGGTGTATCAGTCAAGTGGTACACAACATTGAATCCAATACCATACTGGCCTGTTTTATTTGGGTCATTTCCTTTACTTCCCAGACCCAGGCTCTGTATGCCTCCCATGTCCTTCTCTGTAAATGGTTTGTCGTTAAAAACAAGTAACGCAGGTCCTTGAAGATGCTTCCAACTTTCCCGAAACACTTTATCAGTGGAATGCTCACGTTCATCCAGGATAAAATGAAGCTCCTTAGCTTCAGCATCATCTGCATTTTGCAGCATTTCCTTCATTATGCCCTGATCACATGGATATGATTGGATAATGTTCTTTAATCTTTGTGTCAGTTCTTCCTTTTGCCCAAATGGCATGCCTATGTCTGTACTTATAGAACTAAAATGCTGATCACGTTTTGTTTTGATCCCAAGTCCACGTGGTAACTCATCATGCGCAAACTGCATCTCTTCTATTGTCTCAATCCAGGAAATATCATCAAAGCACAACTTTGATGCCAATACAAGTTTGTTGTCTTTTGTTGGTGCATAAAACTCAGTCAGGTTTTCTCCAATTATCTCTTTCTTCTGACGAGCAAAAAGTTGGTTGACCAAGTTCAGTGATACTTTGACCTGTACTTCATCTAGTTTTCCAGCCATTATCTTATGATGCATCTTTTTCAAACCCTGCCTGTAGTCTTCATAGTCAAATGTATCCTTCACATTCAATGCCTTTAGCAGTCTTGGGTACTTGTTCTTGATATTATTGTTGTTCAAGCCATACAGATATGGTGTGCAATCAGCATCAAGATGATAAGCTATACAGTGTGGGTGAACAAGGTCTTGACCAATCAAAATGCAATTCAGAGATGATAAAGCCTTGCTTATTTTTTCATCAATGGGGTTTTTCAGTTCATCCTCAAGCACCTCATACACAGAAGTACACACATTTTCCTTGATTCTGTCACTGCAATCCCTACAGGAGAGCAAGACTGTCATTTGATTTAATACCCAGTCAATGGGAATGGTCTTTTTTAGATCAAAAAATACTGATACCGAATCTGGGAAGGAAGAAGAATGACTTTCATCTAAGATGAGACTGGCATTGCTTGCACAATACATATGCTTCTCTGCAAATAGATCTTCTGCTGCAGCAAAATTGTTATTACATCTTTTCCATAATACTGTTGGATAGCCAGGAGGACATGGCTTGATTGGCAAAAATGGAGTTTTCAGAAGTTGTTCTTTCACTTCATTTTGTAGTTTTTGAGTTCTACAATTTCTGTCTATAGCTATGATACACTCTTTAGAACGTTCTAGAGCACTGCTTTTATTCGTCTGGTCACTGATGCATTGAACACTCTTGGTTCTCTCTAAGATTTGGTCCCCTGACAATTCAGTATACTTGTGTTTCATTCCTAAATTCTGTAATGGTTTGCATATTTGATCATCTGTGTAGAGTGCAGTTGGAAACACATCATCATCCTCACAGTACAGTTTGTTCAACTCAGATGATGGATCAATTAGTTCTTCTATCATCTTCAGTTTGCTACTTGGTTGAACTGGAACAGCTGGCACTGTCTTCATAAGGTGGATGACATGGTCACTCAAGCTAGCCACATTTCTAAGAGCAAACATCATCAATGGATTCCTATACTTTCCATCTAATCTCTGGATATCTCTAAAGAAAACATCTTCAAAGAATTTATCCAATGTGTATATGGGTCTATTGAAACTTTTATTTGATTGTAATGTCTCAAGAATCCTTTTTGGTATATCAGTCACTACAATGCAATCTGTATGGTGGAGTTTGAGTGTTTGTATTGCTTCATTGTAAGGTGTCTCAGGATTCTGGTAGAAAATTTCTTCCCACTGGCTGTCGATAAAAACTACATGTTCTATATCAGACCAAGAGGTTCCGTCTGTAAATAGTTCCAAACCTCCATGAAGCAGTCTTGTTAAAAAACTGTTTTGGAACTCAAAATACAGACCCGATAGTTCCTTAACACAAGGCCATGCATTATAATACATTGCCAATTGTGTTGGGTCCATGATATCTTTCAGATCACACAATGCAGCAATGTAGGAACAAACCACAGAGTCTTTCATGAGATATGTGTTCCAGCTTGCTTCCTCATTTGCTTCTCCATTTCTCCTATCACCATCCTTCCACTCAGAAAGTTCTCTCCGACTGGAAGTGACGGCAAAAGTTCCATTTATGTGAAATGGAAGAGATGGGACCTCAATAGGTAAAGGCATAAAACAAAACATAGTGGCTGACTCTCCATCAACTGAAAGTTGATAAGATCCATCACCATCTGCTTTAAGCGATATGGCAACACCTGCAACAGAATTGTGATGTTTCGGTCTCTGTAGTGCAGTGGCATATGCATCCCCATCTCCGATATCCCAAACCACTAACCAATGACGTTTACTCTCCCCACTTGGAACTGAAAGCAGCTCAGCACCCAATGAAGAGACCACTTTTGCTGTCTTGATAATTTCTGATGATTTTGGCTTTTCCTTTGTATGGTCTCCTTTGAGATGCTCATAAGATGCATCCATCATGCTGTTACATCCTGGACTTCTGATGCAGAGTGATGTCTCCTTTGTAATTTCCAATATATCAAATGGTTTTGGTGGTGTACTTTGTTGATCCTTTGGTATATGCCAAATGCTTATCTTCTTCACATGCTGGGTAAAAAGCATTAGCTTGTGTGCGGCATCAAATACTGTTTGTAACAATTTCTTTACTTCGTTTTTGTCATAGCAAATGTTGCTGATCTTTCCCCGTTGTTGTCGCAAAGGGAATCTAAAGAGAGTTCCATCATATTGATCTTCTCCAACATTGCATCTCAGATCACAGTTAAAAACTCCAGTATATGGTTTGAACTGGTCTGACAGTTGGGGCAATTTCTTAACCTTTTTTATTGGAATTTTCAAACCTGGTTTTCCACTTATGGCTTTTCCTAGGAATGTTTGATGAGGGTCGAAAAACACAATGCTATCGCCACTAACAAAGCTCGGGACATCAGTAAGGTTATAAACAGTATTGAAACCAAGACCAAATTTGCCTATCTTGTTGCCTTGTTCTGCTTTTGTTGCTGCACCAAGTTTCACAATATTTTCAAAATCATCATTAGAGAATGTAGCATTATTGTACACCCACAATGCAGGGCCTTGCTGATCTTCCATACCAGGATCTATCAAATACTTCCTTGCATCATAATTATCTCTCTCATCATATATGAAACCAACCTCACTGGCACCAGCATCATCTGCATTCTGAATAAGTTCTTTAGGGACTGAAAATCCATCACGGTAGTCTGAAAGAATATTTTTAAGTCTTGTTGTAAGGTCTTCACTTTGGCCATAATCTTCTCCAAATCCCTCATCATCTCCAAGGAGCTTACTCATCAGGGAAGGGACTTTCAAAATCTTGCATGTGTTCTCTGAGATACCACTATGTACATAACGTTTGGTTAATTCCTCATTGGAATCAGCTGTTAGCCATTGAGTTGCACTGTACATGTATGCACACTCACTAATCTTCTTCAGCATCAGGATTGCCTCATCTTCACCTTGAACTGGAAGAAGCAAGTCATCTTTCACATCTTGAAGAGTAATTTCCTCAGTCTGTACAGACCTTGCTATTCTGTTGATGATATTGACAGCAATGTTCAAATCCCTATCGTAATTTCTTTCTTTGGCATCCATACTTTGCATCTTTTTAAGTGCAGTCACTAGTACTGTACTGATTGGTCCTTCTAATATAGCAGATTCTCTGATACTAGTCTTGAACTCATCCATCTCACTAGGGAGAGAGTAAATGTAAGGGGATAATGGGAAGGGAAGGTTGGTTATGGTTAGGCTACCCGGTTCTACAAATCCATTCCCATGCCAGATCCACTTTAATGAGGTGTCTTGGTGTAGCAACATTTGAAGTTGAGTATTTGTTCCCATATGTTGATATACAGATTTGGCCAATGTGTTGTATTCTCCCTTATCTCTATCTTTGTAGCACTTTGAAAGGTTCTGCATATGGTGATACACTTTCATTGCTGGGGGTGGCTTATGCCAACCAAATGCTTCGCTCACTCTCTTAGATGTCTTACATAGTGGTAAAGAGGACCCAACTATTTTAACATGTTTAATATCCCCCACTTCTCTTGGTTTCCAAAGAGAATCATTTGAATAAGATGCTTTCAATGACTTTGGAAATCCATCCATTTGTGTCTCTTCCCTCACAAGCCAAGCAATGTTGGAAAGTTCTTCAACAAGATCGTGACGTTCAGCAATTAAAATCTCATGATCCTCCTCCAAGTATTTGAGCAAAGCTTTCGATTTTGATATTGCTTTTTCTTGGATGGTAGCTGTTTCTATTTCTCTTGCGATGTTTACGATGTCTTCATTGGATAAATTCACCTTTAGTCCCAATTCTTTAAGAATGGAAAGGTTTTGTTCTGCAGAGAAATATAACTCTTTTGGTACATTGTGATCAATCAAATCTGAGAGAACTGGGTCATATAGGGTGTTGATACAGCAAAGGCATCCATGTGCATCTTCTAGGCATTTTACACCATTCAATGAATCTTTCAACATATTCCCAGCATGCTCTTGTTTAATGAAACGATAATGGTGGTTGAGTATATATATCATCAGTTTCTTTATCTCCGATTGTGTATAACTGCTATTAAGATTTGGAAGGATGTGATCCTGAATGAGGGCTAACTCCTCAAGGGGCAATATGTCTACTAATGATGCCAACTTAGCAGTGACCTTGCTGTATTTAATCATGCTTGCCTTGACCTGAATTGGAATGGTTTCTTTGCACATGACTGGATTGTTGTCATTTAGACAAACCCATTGACCCAATGTTGTCTTAAATATAGGCAGTGACTTGATTAATGATTTCTGTTTGTCATCAATATCAGTTTCACTGAATCTTCCAAGTTCTTCCTGCAGAGCAAGCCTTTCTTCTTCAGATGCAGCATGGAAGAGATCTGAGATGTTGTGGTCACCATTTGTTACATGAGGATCTTTGGATACAAGCTTATCTGCTATCACCTGGAGAACACCATCTGGGCCATACCTATTTATGTAACCATCATTCACCAGAATTTGTTCTATGGAGTCCCAGGGTTTGGAAAGCTTTTCTAATATAATGACACCTATGCTGATCAAGAATTTCCTCAAAGACTCCTCTATCTGTGACTTCCCTTCCAAGAGTATCGCTGATCTTTTCTGAAGCTTAACAAGGTTTATGGTGTTGCTGTTACAGCTGCTGGTCTGATGGAAAAGATGTAGCTTCTCGTAGTTTGCGATGTTCTGTTTGTTCTTCACAATGTATTCAGACACAATGTTACACCAGTCAATCTGCTTCTTTAGCGACTCTTCCACAATATCAAGTTTCTTCCAGTCTTTTGGCTCTGTCTCCAGGATCAATTGTAGTGCGTCAGAATCTTTCAAGACTCTTAGTTGTGTTGCACCTAAATAAAATTGACTGTCTAAGAATGGGTAACTGAATGCATAAGAAGTGACATACCCAGATCAAAAGAAATAAGACATAAACAAGAGGACCAACAACATATTTAGCCTTGCCCAAGTTGGTCTCTTTTACTTATCTTGATTTCTATTATGACCGCCTTATACCAATGAGAAAGCCACGTACTTAACTGACCTTATGTTTATGTCGGTAAATTTGACCTGCAGCGTTAGCTCATTATTATGCACAGTCAAAACAAGTACATTTTTCATGAACAAATCCTCCCCCAAATCTTGATTAGTTGAAAGCCCATGTTTACACTAATGACTGCTTACATGTACAATGTACATTTAATTACATAATAAATTGAAGACTGAAGAAATACCCGATCATATCATTGAATATCAAGTCATAGACAGGTAGTTTGCTTTGTTTATGTGGGTAAACCTGAAAACATTTTTATTTGGTCAATCAGCCTGCAGTCACACATTGTGTCCACGCGATCTTGCCAATAAATAAGGTTTTGCGATACCCTTGACAGCATAGGAATTATGGAAATCTTGAAACCGCTGAATAACTTATCATAATATCAGCAATGCTGCATTAGATTGTACAAGGTGGTAATAATTCAAGATCAGGATAAGTAAAAAATACCGACTTGGGCAAGGCAACAACATATTAAATAAATACAATAAATTGAAAAATGTAGAGAAATGAAAGTGTAAACATTAACACTCTTACTTTAAAGCGTTATGAAAGTCACCAAAAAGTCTTGTAACCTTCATTCTGATTTGATGAGAGTTCATAACATGGGCAAATCAAAACAAGGATAACATTATTTCTGCATTTGTATATGGTTTATCATAATTAATAAGACTGGTGTTGGAAATGGTGGGAGTTTCAACCAATACCTACAAGTAGGTAGTTAACAGTTTCACCAAGAGGTGGCTCATTCGGGTCAGAGAGCATGGCGAGTATATTAGAAAGTTCCCTTAACTTAAATACTCATCAGTTTTAGAAAAAAAATTGGTCAATTTGAAGCAAGTTGAAAAGGCTTACGAACAACTCATCCCTAGACATCTCATCCCCTAGACAACTCATCCCCTGGTCATCTTATCCCCTGGACAACTCATCCCCTGGACATCTCATCCCCTGGACAACTCATCCCCTGGACAACTCATCCCCTGGACAACTCATCCCCTAGACAACTCATCCCCTGGACAACTCATCCTTCATCACATGAAGCTAAATATTGTAAAGTGTTTCTTGAAAAGAAATACTCAGTAAATACATCTTGGATCATTCAAAATATTATTTTTCACGTTATTGACACAAATAAACAGTCAAACGATGCCATTAAAACCCTCATCTCTTATTCTTATATTACATGACTCAATATTTCCTGACCAAACAAATTCTCTTTGTGCATAACTTTAAACACTAACTTCATTAATGCTGTGAAAAAATAATCTTTGGATTAAAGAATATTTGAGCTATGAACAACATATATACTATGACATCAAATGAAATCAATGTTAATATCATATCGAAATTAAAAGTAAATATTTTCAAAACAAATCAGAGATTAATTGGTTGATTATCTTTTTGACCAAATCATAGTTTTTTACAATATTCCCCTCCCAGAAAGATTTTGTTTATCACTGGTACTCCACTACATTATGCTGGTTACCGAAACAGATCGTAACAAAATGTAGGAACCTTAAAGATACGGTCAATTTTTATTTTTAGCTAATTCCGGTGTTGCAGGCAAAATTCCCACAACATTTTTATCACAAACGTTTGTCGGTATCATATGTTTAAGAAACTGTACATGTTTGCAAACAAATAGTACAGAAGACAACAGAATCGTTGATTTAATATCTCACTATTTAATTGTTACGTAAACAGAACTGATTAGAAGTGCAGGTCTTAACCGTTTTAGAAGTTCTGTTTACGCAAAGTAACAAAAGCAAGATAGAGAATGTCATGGGAATTCTGCCTACAACTCGTGAAATAAGGAAAAAAATGAAATATCTTATATACCTTCGAGGCTTCAACGTTTTGTTACCCAAACAGCTCAACAGTATAATTGAGTGGAGTAACAGTGTTCATGTAATATATGTTTTTTGAAACTTAAAGCTGACCATATTCACAACCAAAACATTTAAAAATCATTTGAATATCACATGAATTGGTAATATAATTATTAAATTACTCTACTCAAACATGCCAAAGGATTAGTCGTCCAAGGGATGAGTTGTCCAGGGAATGAGTTGTCTAGGGGATGATTTGGACCAGGGGATGACTTGTCTAGGGGATGAGTTGTCCAGGGGATGAGTTGTCTACGAGATGAGTTGTCCAGAGATAAGTCGTCTAGGGGATGAGTTTTCTAGGGGATGAGTGCCATGAGTTGTCTACGGGATGAGTTGTCCAGGGGATGAGTTGTCCAAGGGATGAGTTGTCTAGGGGATGAGTTGTCCAGGGATGAGACGTCTAGGGGATGAGTCGTCCGGTTATCGTTGAAAAAATACCTTTTTGACCTTTTTTGAACTTGAGAGGGTCATTGAAGGTCAAATCTAAAATCTAAAATCAGATTTGAACTTCTGATAACTTGTAGATGATTGGTCAATTTGAAGCAAGATGAAAAAGACCTTTTTGACCTTGAAAAATTCATTGAAAGTCAAATCTTAAATATGAAGTTAGATTTGAACTTCTGAAAACATGTGGATGATTTTGAAAAAAAATTGAAGTCAGTCTAAACAGTATTTGTAAAGTTATTGGAAGTTGTATGAATTTGTTACAGACACTGATCGCCAACCAACCAACCGCCAACCACAAACCTCCGTCAAAAAAATGGAGACCATAACAATATGTCACCACTTTTTGGTGATGACATAATTATTACTGGGCCTCTAGGAAGACCAGTCCTGTACTGATATCAAATCAAATCTGTCCAATACAAGAAAAGATATTTTACTTTTTGTGAATATATTACATGGGGTCTATTGGGAATCTAACCGAGCTAGAAGTCACATTTAAAAAAACATGGGGAAAAAATTGGTCAATTTGAAGCAAGTTGAAAAAATACCTTTTTGACCATGAGAAGATCAATGAAGGTTGAATCTCAAATCTTAAGTCAGATTGGAACTTCTGATGACTTGTGGATGATTTTGAAAAAAAATCAATTTGAAGCAAGTTGAAAAAATACCTTTTCAACCTTTTTTGACCTTGAAAAGGTCACTGAATGTCAAATCTTAAATATAAAGTCAGATTTGAACTTCTGAAAACTTGTAGATAGTTTTGAAAAAAACTGAAGTCAGTCTAAACAGTATTTGTTAAGTTGTTGGAAGTTTTAAAAATTTATTACAGACTCCAACCACCAACCGCCACCCGCTGATCGCCAACCACCAACCACAGTCACAAAAAACGGAGACCATAACAATATGTCACCACTTTTTGGTGGTGACAAAATAATTAATAAATAATCCCAAAAAATGAAGCGATTTAATGATTGAACTTAACTAGATAATGGCAACTCCGCGGAGTAGCAAATCCCAACGAACAAAATATCAATTACCAAATTCCAATCAATTATACTCATTACTTTGGTTAAAATTGAAAAAATTAGATTTTAGAATTGCGAATTACTGCTAAGCAGCCATTTTGAATTTTCTGAGGTACAAATCTGAAAAATAATACCATAATTGTGATCTACTCCAAAAATCCTTCAATTTGAGTATAATATAGCCATACTTTGAAGGGATCGAAAAATTATTGCGAAATCGTACATTAGACGGCCATTTTGAATTTTACGAGGCTCGAATCAAAAAAAGATACAATATTTGCAATCTACTCTTAATTGCCTTTTATTTGAGTATAATAAAGCTATACTTCAGAAAGATCTAAAAATTAGCGAAAATTTCTGTTTTCCTGACCCCCCATACAAGGCCCCTGGGGTTCAGGATGAAAAACACGGAATATATGTGAAATAGATAAATGTTTTGAATATACTACCAAAATTTCAAACAATAATATTAATTACTTTGGTTTAGAATGAAAAATTTATGATTTTTGCGAAAAAGTCCCGTCATTTTTAAAGCGGCGGCCATCTTGAAAAAATTTTTTTTTGCGTAAAACTATTTACCAATATACATATTCCACTAAATATGAAGAAAATCCGTCTACTAGTATTTGAGTTATCTTCCGGACGGACAGACGGACGGACGGACTGACTGACGGACGGACGGAGGGCTTCACTATATCCCTACCGAACTTCGTTCGTTGGGATAATTAATGTATTATTGCTACAGATCCTATGGATCATCCACTACAAATATTCTGTCTGTCAAAAACTTCAATATATCTCTGCCATATTGGTGAATTCAAAAAATGCAGTACTCACAACTCAAAGACACTTTATGCAGTTTCTCTACTAGTGTTGGTTCCATGCTACCCATATCGAGAAATCGATCTTTGTGGTTTGGGAACATTGCAATAGGGTATTCATCTGATGGTAGATATATAGGGAGTACTTGTAGGTTGTTCTCTGTACGATAAGCCTCTGTACACTTAGCGAACGTGGCTTTGGAGTTATCGAGCAGATTTAAAAGTTCAAGTCCATCCACACTACAGAAATCATCATCTTGTAGGATGTAACTCAGTATGGAGTGTTTGTCATCATTACAACGTGATTTGTATATTGCAGGGTCCTGTTTCATTAATCCCCTTATAAGGCTAGGGGTTATGGTGGTCAACTTACATGCCTCAATGACTTTCTGGACATGGTATGGTATTTGAGCAGCATGACTTCCAGATGATTTTAAGAGATCCCGCAAGACATCTTTTGCTGGTTGTTCATGAAGGTTATCGATGATGCAGACGTTTGGATTGACCCATTCTGCCTGAGTGTTGGAAAATATTATGTCTTCTTGCAGCAACATTGGACCCAGAGTTTTAGTGACAATCTTCCATTTGTCATGCACCTGAAATAAGTAGTTCATCGTGATTAGGGGGAAATCAGAAGTTCAACTTGAAGTTTAGTAAGAGGGAATTTGACTAAGGAAAATTTTTCATCCTACTGAAAGATCTTTTTGAAACTCTTCACATGTTTCTCTTTCCATACTATCAATATGCTCTGGGGTCATACCTGATGGGAAAGACAACTTTCTGCAGTGTGATCATTTGAGCCTTCAATCCATAAAGTTGATCCCGCCAATATAAATATCCATCATTCATGTATAATGATGTATCAACAAAACATAATGTATCAATTTGTAAAGGAACCGTTGTCACCTATTATTTTCAAAAACAGTTAACAAGGTCTTACCCTATCACAGTCAGGCAACATCCGGTATATAACTTCCGGTTTCACTTGCATCTGAAGAGCATTCTTAACCAGCTGCAGATAGCATTTCGGGACCAGCTCAGTCAATACACAAGTATTCCATAATAATTTTGGATCGTTTTCCTCTTGTTGGTCCATGGTTGGCCACTTGAGGTGCGCTCGATTCTGTAATAAAATCAATCCAAAGTACATGTAGTTCAAACTGGTCTTGTGTTGATGTTGTAGCTGAACATTTTTAATAAAGTATGAAGTGAATGATATACAGAATGGTGAGATCTAGGAGGTTCCCATAGTTTTGCTGGTCTTTTGACCATCTATATTTTTCAAATCTGGCCTTTACTCCCTCTAAACAGACTCAAATCAGGTATTTTAATATACCGTGTGACACAAAAAAGACACCCAGACACATAATGTTTTTTTTGTCTGAATAAATTCTGACTAGTTTTTTTGCACATTAAAACTACACTCCATTTTGCAACTCCAAAAGAAGTTTCAGATGACTAGCTCGCCTACATGTACATGTAGATGCACATTTATGAGTGTTACATACAAAATGTGTCGTCTATTCCTTTGTTGGCACAACTGGATCTTACACAAAAAGACACCCACCTTTTGTAACATAATTTTGGAAATAAGTTATAATAATTTTATCAATGGCAATTACATTATTTTGTGCATAATTGAATTTCCCTAAAAGTACAAGCCAAAATCATTAGTATTTACAAAGTTATGTTACAAAAGCTGGATGGCATTTTTCGTATAGAATCCATATGTGTCTGCAAAGGAATGGATGACATTTAAAACAAATATTGTAACGCTCATAAAATTTGAGCCACTTGAGCTACACATCTGAAATCTTTAGAGGTGCCTTCACATGTCTACTTTTTATGTTAATAGACAAACAAGAATGCAACGTAAGGTGGGTGTCATTATTTTTTGTCAACCTGTATAAACATTAGGACAATTGTGGATTACCTGGTCTAATGCAAAGTATCCATTCACATGTACAGGTAGACCTGATGGGCTTGTCTCTGTGACAGGTAGGGGAAGGACGCAAGACACATGACCTTGTGGTGGCTTACTATAGTCAACTACATCTGAAATAAATAAACATCCACTAAAACATAAAACTTGTATTTATTTACATTAAGCAGAGCTTCTTTGTCCACTGGTATTTTGAGTTATCAAAGATTATATATTTTTACGAAAAATTGCTGTCATTTAAAAATCTCTTCTTCACCAAAGCTCCTTTGTCCCTATAAAATTTGAAAACAATTCCATCAATGGATATTTGAGCTATCAAAGATTATGTTTTTTTAAGAAATTGGCCGTTTGGAATTCAGTAGCCATCTTGAAAATTTCTTCTTCGACAAAGCTCCTTTGTCCCTGGGCAGCAGCACATAAAATTTGAACCAAATCCGTCGACTAGAGTTCTCAAAGATTATATTTTCTGTGTAAAATGGTGGCCATTTTGAATTGGGCAACCATATTGTAAATTCCTTCTCGACCAGAGGTCAGGTCCTACACCCGGGGGGTTCACTGTATATAAAACTCGACAGGGGTCCTAGGCTGAAGCCTCAAATATCAATATGTTCCCATACCAATCTGTCAAATTTCAATATGTTCCCATACCAACCAAAATAACGCCCAAAGGCCATACCAAATGTCCAAATATAGGACCAATGCCATACCAAATGTTCAAATATGGGACCAATGCCATACCTTAATTCAAAGTAAATGAAATATAGGATCAATGTCATACAAATTTGCAACTACTGGACCAATGCCATACCACGAATTTTAGGTAACGTATCTACAACGACCATTCTCATACCAGAAGAGCAAAAGTCCGACCATTGCCATATCTCAGAAGTCAGAAATTTCCGGGCATTCCCATACCAAATCCTAAATATGGGTCCATTGCCGTACCAAACGTTGAAAAAGGTCCCCCACATGCGCCGAGGATCCCCGTCAAGGTTTATATATAGTGAACCCCCCAGGGTCCTACACCTATGAGGCATAAGCCTATAAATTTTGAATCCAATCCATAAACCAGTATTTGAGTTATCATCTGGACAAACAAATGGACAGACGAATGCAGGGATGGACGAATGCATGGATGGCTTCTCTATATCCCTACGAACTTGTTCGGTGGGATAACAACCCTCCAAGTAGTGAATGCAACCAAAAGTAAGACATATTTTAAAATCACTCCTTATTTTGAATATTTTATGACAGACATAGCCAGGCAGTAGTATGTTCACCTTTTGACAAAATCTACACCCATGACATGACATTTAACTTATACCTGAAGATATAATCCAGTTATGAAGCATCATTATTGATACATAGTAATACATTACAGGGGTTTCATTAGCAGCAGGCAACAGGTGATTTTCAACGGTTGTTTTCACAAAATCGCATGTTGTTTTTTGGGGACTTTTCAAATTAATGATTTTCATTAATTTTGCCTGTTGTTTTCATTTATTTAGCCTGTTGTGAGAAATTCTAGTGAAACCCCTGCATTATCTAATCTAATTTACATAGAACAAAAACTCACCATCATTGATCTCAACAGCGCAGCCAACAAGTGGGCATAAAGCCAGATGTTCATTATGCAGAAGTTTCAACAAAGTCTCTGAAATATCACTACCTGGTGTTGCATAGTAATGGTTCACGAGCCACATCTTATTTTTCACAGACTTGTTTGAACATTCAACCTCAATACTGACATATTCCGACAATGTCATAGGGTCACATTGCACATCTTGGCGAGGCTGCAGATCTGGGTGACATGTTGCTTCACTTTGAGGATGTACCTGATATTGGCGGCTTTGGATGAACTTAAGAAAGTCTGCCCTTTCTTTGAAGACATTTCTGTCATTCCCAGAAGACAGTGAAACTCTAAGGTGCTGCTGGCCATCGATGTATACCTACAATAAGATGCAATAAATGATCCAATTTAGAATACTTCCAAAATACTAAATAGTACTATAGGTTGGGTTCGACTGACTAAAACTAAATCTACAATAGTTTTGAACTACTGTACATGTTAATGATTGAACTAATTATGCATGTACCTGGATTATTTGACAATATGCTAGATAGTACTATGAATGATCAGATCTTTGAACTGTATAGACAGAACAAAAAATACACTGCAAAGGCTGGTATACCTTAATAGTATTCAATGTCTTCATGAAGAGCAGTATGAGATCTGTATCACTCTCCAGTGACTTAAGGAGTTGCACAATCTCAGCAACATCATAGCATTTATCCGATAAGTCAGACTTCATATCACTCTCTTGTGGAGGCAGCCTCAGTGGGAATCTAAAATATAATTAACATTAAAATCATTTAATATTTAGAGCATGTACTTATGTATGAATGAAAACTCTGGGCAAAATTACTATTTCAAGATGAAAACAGGTGCATCATTCCTAAATAAAAAAGACATTAACATGACCAAATGTCACCACCTAGTTGCTTACAAAATTATGAGTTCAATCTTAAGTCAGATTTGAACTTCTGAGAACTTGTACATGTAGACGATTTTGAAAAGAAATTGGTCAATTTGAGGCAATTAAAAAAATGCCTTTTTGACCTTGAGAAGATTATTGAAGGTCAAAGCTTAATCTTAAGTTAGATTTGAACTTCTGAGAACTTGTAGATGATTTTGAAAAAAATTGGTCAATTTGAAGCAAGTTGAAAAAATACCTTTTTGACCTTTCTTTGACCATGAGAAGGTCATTGAAGGTCAAATCTAAAGTCATATTCGAACTTCTGAGAACTTCTAGATAATTTTGAAAAAACTGATATCAGTTGAAACAGTATTTGTCAAGTTATTGGAAGTTATAAGAATTTGTTACAGACACCAAACCCCAACCGCCACATGTCGTCACAAAGAAACGGAGACCATAACAATATTTTACCACTTTTGTTGGTGACAGAACAAAAGATTATTGATAAAAACACCCGAAGAAAGCCCTCTGTTGGCTGTGCCTTATAATACTAACTCCTGAATATACATGTAGTACTGTAATGACAGTTATTAAGATTTGTTTGGGTTACCTTTTTGACTCACACTGTACATTGGCAGTCACTACATGTGTAATTTGTATGTACTAAAATTGAATAAAGAAGAATAAAAAAGATAAAAAAATGTACATTGTATATAAATCACAAAGCAATTAACATATTACTAATACCTGAATAATGTACCATCCAACTTAGTTTTCTTAAAAGCTTCATTAAGGTCAGGGTGATCAAGTACCGCCTTAAATGCCTCTAAATGACCAGGATAATGACAGCTCTTCTTTCTCTTCCTCCTTCGTTTTTTACCCAGATAAAGACTATGAGTCGTCTTTTTAAAAAATGCTTGGTGTGGGTCCAGTATCATTAAGCGGTCTTGGCTGAGAATGCTTGGTAAATCTAAAAGTGTCCAAATGTAAATAAGCAAATTTAACTTGATTAATATTTAGTGTTTCAATTACATTCAATGAATTCCCCTTCAGATTTTGGTTGGTACATTTTTCTACTCAGGGCCTAAAGAATTGAATTCTGACGAATTCTGACCTGCTTTTTCATGAAGGAAAATATGTGACAATGTGTTTATAACATAAAACAGGGTGCACATAAGCGTTGACTTGGAGCCCTGGAGGCCCATTTAATTCAGCAGATTTTTCAACACATGGAGGAAAAAACAGAGCAATTGGTCCATAATTCAAATTTGCCCAGGTCAAAACAGTAATACATTTATATTTCATGAGCATTTAATTTCAACAGAAATTTAGTTTCAACTGACTTTAGAACCTGGGATTCAAGAGGTAATCATTTCAAACTATCTTCTATGAGAAAAACAAGGGAGAAGGCAATCCCAGTACTACCTGGGTAAGTGTCGTTTACCTGGGAGAGGCACTCTCGTGAAATAATCGTGCAGCAAATTCTACAGTTTTACAGTAATCTTTATCTGTAACCCAGTTTTTGCCAGTCTCACCTGTGATATGAAAGACAGACTTAAAGCCCAGTCCAAAGTGGCCAACTTTAATTGGATCATTCTTCTTGATACTAGTACCCAATCTTCTGATACCTTCCCAGTCTTTAGCTGTAAAGCTGGCGTCATTGTATGCATAAAGTGCTGGCCCCTGAAAATAAAAATATATGAAGTGCTCAAAATTGTGAAAAAAGCATGATTTTGAAAGGAGATCGCTTGAACACTCTGAACCTGTGGGTAGGATACAAACAAGATGATACATAGTGAACAGTAATTTTCATACCTGGTATTGTTTAAGGCTCGACTTAAGTAGTTTTCCCTTGGTTTCAGGAGGACAAGATTCAAGAAAAAACTTTATTTCTTTTGCCCCTGCATCCTCAGCGTTTTGTATTATCTCCTGAAAAAACATGATTGGAATTTTTTAATGTTTTTTTTCATTTGTCTTGTTATGTCATGGCATGTTACAACTTTTTCTTTTAGAAGCAACACCATCACATTAATTTTTATCCATTTTCCGTTATTTTTTGAATCAAGGAGAGGCCTGATTACCTTCAAACAAACCATTTCAACATATACATATTTAGTATTTTGGTAGCAGCGGTAGGAAACGGAGAATATAATATATAGTTAGAGCATACTTATACCTTTAAGATTTGACCATTGTTGGGATATGTGTCAAGGATGCTCCTAAGATCCTCTTTCATTCCTCTCTGAATGAGCCCCTCATCTGCATCATCCGATGACGACTCATCCGATGAAGGCATCATAGCTCCACGTATTCTAGCAATATGATATATGTCTACTGTCTTATCAAGATATCATCTGGTGTTGCCATCATATCTTTGCATCAGTGTGTGTGCCTATAAATTTGAATCACATCTGTCAAACTGGTAACGAAATGATGGACAGATAGACAGATCGATGGATGGATGGATGGACGAATGGATGGGCATCTTTAAGTTACAGCTTGTATTGGTACCATGAGAATATCTTTGTTCTTTTTTTGTTCTCTTTGTTCTGAATTTTTTTAGCAAAAGCCCATACAAATAAATTCCATTCAAGTTGTCTCAGCTAAATGTCACCTCTAAACTGCCTTCAGTCTTTATAAGACAACTTCCGTAAGAGCCTTAACAATAACATTCACCTTTGTGGTTCCCTTAAGTCTATGATTGAAAGAAATCCTCATTTTCTAGAAACTTCTTCAGAGCTGTTCTAACAAGTTGCCATCTTAAAATTTCTCTGCCTCTGACTAGAAAAATCTAAGGGGTTCCCATCCACGGCTTCCAGTATATGGAATGATATCATTTCCCTCCCGCTATTCAGACATGATTCAAAAAGCAATCTTGCTGATAATCACAATAATTTAGATAAAATAAATGGATACTCACGATTTTATAGAAATTCAATATAAAAATGGAGAAATGATTATTAACATAAATTATTCAACTTCATTATCTGTTCTCGGAGGTTCTGGTTTCAGTTCTTAGAAGTTTAGCCAATTGGGGAGGGTCTTCAATAGTTATTAGTTATTGAAGATGATACTTGAGGCCAGGTTTGAGGCTTCATCTTTAAAAACCATGGACTAATCTTGGAAGAAATAGTCAATGTGGAATTAGGTCCATGAGACAGTATACTAAAATAGCAACATTTGTTAATTGTTACCATATTTTAAGGTCAGTGTGCACTTGGAATTTTTTTGCAATTAAAGTAAACCACTGAATATTCTAGCCTAGTTATTCAAACATTCTGAAGAATTATCAAACCTCAATTAATAGTCTAGGTACACTAATGCATCTTTTGTGCAAGAATAAAAGATGTAGATGGTGTTCGGAATGAGTTATGGTTATCTGAAAATAGCACATGGTCATGAAATTTCATCAAAAGTGCACCCTGACCTTAATAAGATATAAGAATCACGGACGTCAAGTACGTTTCTAGCGAAAGCTGGAGCATAGATTATTTAGAGGACTGGAAACAAGATGGCAGTCTATTTCAATTCTGGCAGTTCATTTTGGCCTATTTCTCACTATTGACTCAGTTGTTCATCTAGTTTTACTTACCTTAGATGCTTAGTAATCTATTTAGTATAATTTTGTTTCCAAAATTATTGTCATTTGCGATAATTAGTACTAAAAGTACTTTGAACAAATCAGCTGCCATTTGCTTGGCTTAATCGTACCAGTCCACAAAAACAGTGAAATCATATTAAAGATACCAATTAAACTTTAAAATTGAGGCAGATGCGATACAAAGAGACTCTATTAATACAGATATACAGGTTACAGTCACAAAGATGAGCTAATTTCAGGCGAGATTCGGGAAATAAAAAGGTAGGTCATTCTGGTTTCCAGTCCTCTAAATAATCTATGCTCCGGCTTTCGCCAGAAACTTACTTGACATCCGTGATAAGAATGTTAAAAAACTTCAAACCCTTAGCCTCTGGCCAAAAATTATTTCAAAATCATGCAGTTTTTCACCATTTTGAGAACTTTTCAAGTGATTTTGAGCCAAAACCTGGCTAAGGGCACAAAACGAAACTGAGCTGCCCTCTGCATGCTAATTTACTCAAATGAGATTTATAATATTTGATACAGACCTTTCACCAATCTAGATGCCACTGTTTTTGGAAATCAGTGAGTGTTGATGTTTCTTGAATCATTTTCCTCCTGTTTCCTCTGTGTCTTAGTACTTTCAAATCCTGTGTATATTATGGTGTAGATCTTGATCGTTTGAAACCAACTGGCAACCTGGACTCAAAAATACATTGAACTGTTTTGCAATTTCTTAGAAGGTGAATGAATTGACAACTTCTCAGAAGTTTAGTATTGATTGTGGATTTAGTTCGAAAACTATTCAAAGATGTCACTGTAAAGATTCATCACAAGATTTTTTAATTTTTGGATCGAGCTCGACTAGTCGTGTACAATCACTTGTACTTGTTCTTATATTCTTGTTGATCATGAAAAACATATGACAGATGCAAGATGAGAAACTGTCAGGTATGTCTTTGGGAGGAAGCAAGATGTGGGATAAAGTTGCAAACTTACCGATCAAACATTCCCTTCACGTGCCATCAAAAAACAAACTTTCGGCAACAAGCAGGGAGTGAATGGAACAGCCTAATTATTGCCAATTAGCGGCAACCAATCAGAAGTGTAATTCTAATAACATGCAGACAGTAGTAGAACTTAATTGGCTGGAGGCATATCAACAGTTTCTAGACCCTCATAACGGTGTGTGTGAATTGAATGCTGCTTACTTTGGCATCCAAGAAACCGTCAAAATAGGCCAGGAGTTTAAAACTACGGCACAAAGGCAGCCATCATCGATTGAATAATTTGGCACAAACGACTCGGAGATTGCGTGCTGTTTTACGATCGAAGAATGATTATTATGTGACTGTGACTATATACACCATAAAACTGACCACATCAGGATTATTAGGAGATAAACTGGAATAAAATCAGTCATGGATTGGCGAAGTTACAGTGCAATATTTTTGCGACATTTTATTTTGAATTTTCTTCTTGTTTGGAATCATGGAGGACTTGGTCAAAATGCCGGAGTTTATTCTCAAATAAGCGACTCGACTGGACACTTACCGCATCATGGAAAATGTCAGGTAATAACAGTTCCCCTCTGCAATGGGATACCTTATAATGAGACAATAATGCCTAACATTTTAAACCATCAAAATCAAGATGATGCTGGACTCGAAGCCCATCAATTTTTCCCACTGGTGAAAGTCAACTGCAGTCCAGTGTTAAAGTTCTTTCTGTGCACTGTGTATGTGCCAGTATGTACTGTCATGGAGAAAGCACTTCCCCCTTGTCGTAGTCTGTGCGAAGAGTCGCGCTCAGGCTGTGAACATCTTATGAATAATTTTGGATTTAAATGGCCTGATAGTTTAGCCTGTGAGAACTTCCCAAAGTTTGGTGAGGATTTATGTGTCGGGCCTAAGAACAGTAGTACAGGCCACGGTGGTATCTCTCCTAAACCTGGCAAGAAACCCTCTACCACTCCAGCTTATAGGGATCCTATACGGAGACCGAACGGCAAAGAGTATGCCTTTGAATGTCCCATGCATTTGACGGTGCCCAAGGCCTTGGATTATAAGCTCAAAGTCGGAAATGATATTGTCAAAGATTGTGGCGCCCCTTGTCATGATATGTACTTCAATAGGAGTAGCACAGAGATTGCTGGAATGGGAGTCACCACTTTCGCCTGGTTGTGGATCGGAATTTGGTCATCCGTTTGTGCAGTGTCTACCCTGTTTACTGTCCTGACATTCTTAGTTGATATGAAACGATTCAGCTACCCAGAGCGACCAATCATATTCCTCTCTGGCTGTTACTTGATGGTGTCCATAGCTTTTATCGTTGGATTTATTATTCGTGACGAGGTTGCCTGTAATGGACCATTTGAACCCCCACACGAGACTTTCCCTGCAGAGAAAATGGTAAAAGTGATTACTCAAGGCACTAAGAAAGAAGGCTGTACAATCTTATTTATGATGCTCTATTTTTTTAGCATGGCCTCCTCAATTTGGTGGGTTATCTTAACATTAACATGGTTCCTATCTGCGGGACTAAAATGGGGCCACGAGGCGATAGAAGCCAATTCACAGTACTTCCATCTAGCCGCATGGGCTGTTCCCACCATTAAGACTATTGCAATATTAGCTATGGGGCATGTCGATGGAGATGTCGTTAGCGGTGTATGCTTCACAGGCATCACAAATGTAGACGCTTTAAGAGGATTCGTCCTAGCGCCATTGTTGGTATATCTCGTCATTGGAATTTCATTTTTACTAGCAGGGTTCGTATCATTATTCAAAATTAGGACTATTATGAAAAGTGACGGTACTAAAACTGATAAACTAGAAAAACTTATGGTGCGGATAGGTGTATTTTCCGTACTATACGCAGTACCCGCTACCATAGTAATAGGCTGCTATTTCTATGAGCAAGCCATGCGTGACACTTGGATGGTTAACTGGCATGCATCTAAATGCCGGGAATATATAATCCCTTGTCCTAGACATTCAACAGACTCCCGACCTGAATTTATTGTGTTCATGTTCAAGTACCTTATGTCAGTTGTTGTAGGAATTACTTCAGGCTTCTGGATATGGTCTGGGAAAACAATTGCCTCTTGGAAACGATTTTATGAGCGAATTTTCCTAGGCCGTCGTGCTCCTCCCCCAGAAGCTGTCGTATAAAGGCCCAATTGTACCACCTAATTGGATTTTATAATCGTATACTAGACAAGTAACGAGATTGTGTATACAGCAGACGTCAAGACGCAGATTAAGCTAGTGATATGTAACATTAGTCTTGCAGCTCTGGTATAGAAAATGAACAGTGATTTTTTCTGTATTGGACTTAGATCTCCGGACATTTATGTGATATAACACAGTGACCATATTTGAAGTCCATGACCTGATCCGAACCGCTGATACAGTACCCATGCTCTGGACTTATTGCCCAGGTACTATTCTTCAGTCCAGATCAAAACTGACCCTACTTTATGTCACAATTCAAATCTGTAACTCTTTATAGTATGAATAAGATATCCAAAGGAAAACATTGAGGAAGGGGGTATGTTAATATATTCGAAAGTGTCTGAGAATGATTTTTTTCTGTGACTATTTAGTAATTATTTACGACTAACTATTGTCATTATGTATCATTCTTCATTTCTTGGAAGGATTTTTAATTTTTTAACTATCTATTGTGACTGAAGTAAGGTTATTTATGATTTGTAAGTTGTAATATACCAAAATCAGCTTGGATTTTACCTGCTAGCTTTTAGCTACAGTGGTGCCATTATCATAAATATATAGCCAGTATATTGCACATACATGTCGGAAATTTCACCTTTAACCATAGGCAAACATTTCACACATGATGTATTTTAATATCAATAATTAATCATTTCAAAAGTCATTAATGTCGATTTTATGACTGACATTATAATAGGCTTGCATACAGTGTCAACTAGCATAATGACCCATATTCAAATCACCTTCAGTCTGTAAAGTTTCAAAGATATAAAAGGTGCCAAATAATTTGCCATTTTGAAAATTAATCACATTTTGGAGAATATTTGAAACTAGTTTTCTCACTGGCAGATTCTATTTGATGTTGGTTTGGTATTTGGTTTAATATTGGGAAAAAACAATTACGAAATTAAAGTATTGAAAAATATTTGTCACCTGTATCTGTGGTATCATACATGGCAACCTACGGTGTCTCAACGTTAAGGAGCTTATCATTGTAAGATTCTCTCTGTATGCTCCTTGGAATAAGATGCTAGAGTTACATTGAGGAGAGGTATCTCTCAGTAGAGCTGGTAAAATCCAAGCAATTAACAGCAGGATGTTCAAGCTATCTTTCACAGATATAAGTTCATTTTCAGAGAGTTTCCTAATTTAGCCTGTCAGAATCACTTGGCACGCTTAGCCCGATGCTAGATCTGGTATACATTTTCTGCAAACACATGTGCCACTTTCGGAAATGTTTTGTAAATCTAGGCCTAAAACGTCCATGTTTTAAAATGAACAGAGCTCTAAACATCAAGTGTTTATCGATATACAATCTCATAAGGTTCTGCTTGATGAAGCTACTTAGTATAAGTCCTTTAGTTTTATTTTTGCAGTACCTTATGAGAGGTTTATCAGTAACCATGACAACTGTAAAAGAAAAAAACTTGAAACATCCTGTATTGAAACTGACAGAATGTGTTAGGTCAAAATTAAACCAAACTTGTACATGATACAAATGATAGCTTTGACTTCAACCAGATATCTCTTGTCAGTAAAAACTTGTAAAGTTTGACATGTACTGATATGATGGGGTTATACTGAGGCCACATCATTTCACCTGGCCAAACTGCCACTGTACTACCAGTCAGTCACATTAATTCCACTATTGAAATCATCTTTATAACTGTTATTATTGGAACAGTTTCTAGGCTCCGTGTGAACTTTCAACAATTCTGTTTTTGAAACTGTAACCTTCCGTACACAGACAGGATTGGGAATCCTGAAAATGTCCTATTTCTCAGTTTACATTTATATCGAACTCCCATGCAGTGTCTCGGTATAGACACTGCGGCGGGCAGACGAAGAAAATCCCCAAAATTTGGGGAAAATAGTTCCCTTTTTCATCATATATGTGGTCAATTTTCACACAACTTATAAAATATGTATTCATAAATGTTCCCCAACCATTATTTTGTCAAAATATTTCAAAATTATTGAAATATGAGAAGAAATCACCGCGGAAGGAATTCTGAGTAAAAGTTTTGTTGATAATAGTTTACTGCACGTGTTGTTTATCAGTTAATACGCGCAATTCAACCAATGAAATTGTCTAAATTTAACAATCACGCGACCTGAGCATGGGACTAGAACCAATCACGTCAGTTGTTTATTAGAAGTTACCATGCTTACGGTGAGATACCTGCCCGCCGCAGTGATATTATCACTGCACGGGAGTTCGCATTTATATATTTAAGGGTTTCTTAAAACAATGGAAGAAAAGTAGATTTTTTGGTTTCCATTTTTATACCATTCGACGGGGAAATGATCATCTGAAGAATTGAGTAGTTTTCAAATGTTATGTTCTCAAATTATTTCAAATAAGATTTCTAATACTCAATGTGACAGCTTACTGACCTGTATCTGGCATTGTTGTCATTTTTCTTTTGACCGTATATATTCTGTCCTTTTAAATAAGATAGTA